AACTTTCCTTCTTTCTTAGAAGCAGTTTTTATTGACTCTTGGCCACAGAATTGAGTGGGAAGAGCTTTGTTTTATAATGTCCCTCTACACACTGCCCTCTGTGAAGCCTTGATCCTTAAGCAATATCTTGAAAAAAAAATAAACAAAGACCCAGGTTGTATCTGGAAAAGATTACATTCTTGTGAGTCAAATAGAAAGTTCATCCAACTTTTATTAAACACATTAGATGAGATGCTATCCTACAGATTTTTATTGGTTTCAGCTTGCATTCAACTCAAGCTGTTCACAACCTTTTGATGTATACCACAGTCCTAACGCTACCAATGAACAACACTTAAAATATGATCCTCTTCTTGTGTTTTGTGGTATGAAAATAGAGCTCTCAACTTCTCCAGTCTCCAGGAAGGCAAGTAAATAAACAGTCAGTACTTGACTGTAACATTTTGCAAAGGTGTTACCTTCCTTTGAACACCACACATTGGGGAGGAGATAAATACGCAACCTTTTTCCAGGGCTTTAAATTGGAAGGTGTACACAGCCTAATGGTGTATCTGTCTTCTCCTGAACTCGTGCTGTTGTCTTGACTGGTAGATTTTGAAATTAATTCTTGCCCCCCCCACCCCCCATTCTCAGTCCAGGAGGCTGTTTGCTTTTGTGATTTAATCAAGCTAGTAAAGACTTCCTCAAAATCCACATAAGTTCTCCTGGTATTCAGAGTACAGGCAGTGAGTACAGTTAAGACCCAAGTGGTCAGCAAAAGGTCTCCAACTGAACTTTGTTGCTTGCTTAGTGCCTCATACACAAAGCTATTGAAATATAGGAAATAACTTTGAACCTCCTACTAGTGATAGGCTTAATAACCTTAATATTTGCCTCACAGGCAAATTTCCAGAAGTATAGGGAAAAAACTTTTTTCTACATTCATATAGCAAAAACAAAATGAGAAACAGAGCTCGGACAGAAACTCAACTTTAAAATGGCACTTGTAAATTTGTTCCTGTGTTCCCTAAACTCTTCTTTAACTTTTTTTGCCAAGGTGTAAGCAGTGCATGAAACCATTTACAACACTGATTCTGTGCTCCAGTGTTTGTTTCTTGTACAGAAGTACAAGCCATATTCACAAAAACAGGAGAGAGAGGAACTGGGAAAAAGCACTCCAATATACTCTTTCTGGAAATATATCTCTGCCCTGCATTTATTGTATCCTCTCTCCCTAGAAGAATAAATGGTATTTTTAGTGCTCTATAGCTCTGGTAAAGGATCAGCTGAAATTTTCCTTTATACTACTTTGTTTGCTCAATTTGTCACCTGGAGGCTGTTTCCTGTTTAAAAAGCAGACTGATGAAATGCTTTAAGTGCTATCTGTGCTTAAAAGACAGATTCTGCTTTAGTTTTTGTTCTATACTCTCTGATACAATACTGTTGAAAATCAGTGATTCAGGAAAGCTTTGAGGAACTGAACTTTCAAATTTTAATGGATTCCATATACAACACATTAGTCCAAGTTGGTGATTCATCACAGATTTAAGTCTGCAATCAGATGATGAGTAGAGGTCTGTGGATTCTGCTTTACTGTAGGCAGAATGTCATGATGCTGACACTGAGTGTGGTTGAGACCGCTGCTGTCTGGAGCAATGAGGAGTGCAGAAATTGTACTAAGACATCCCCCTGGGGACACCTGAAGGCATGTTGTAGTCTGATAAGGGACACTGAAGTGACTCTGACATTGTTGGACTCCTCTGAGAGCTCTGTACTTCCAAACCATACTCAGCCTGTTGTGAATTGCTGTGGGCTTGGCCCATAAACTTAAATGAGTCCCACTTAGAGCTGCTAAAGTACTGAAACACTATTGAAAGGTTCTGGCACATAGGCCTGAGTTGTGGAAACCAACGCAGTGATGTCAGTTGGAGTTTTGCCACTGTTTCTGCTGTGGCCAAAATTTAATTTCAGCTGTGTTACAGGTCAGAGCAGAGCAGAGCATGTTTGCAAAATTGGTTCAGAATCTGCTTCCCTGCCATCCCTCTTGCTATTCCAGGCTCAAATTATTCTAATCTTAGAATTCACACAGATAAATGAACACTAAAGCAATAATAAGTTATACTTTGCAAAGATAAACCAAAGTGAAGGTTGATCTTGTGATAAGGACACTCATTTGGGGCTTTAAAGATCCCAGTTTAATTCCCAATATGGACACAAATCTTTTGTGTAAATTTGGAAGGTCACTTATTCTCTTTTGGCCTCAGTTTCTTAGTTATAAAATGAGACTGAGTTGAACTCTCTTCTTTGTTATACAGTGAGCTTTTCAGAGCATGACTGTGAATACGAAGTTTATGTGAAACCTGTTAGAAGACAGATACCTCAGGGCTATGGGGTTTTTTTAGGCCATTATCATAAGGAAACAGTAATAGTAGCAAAATGTCCAGGCATCTGGACAATGAGGTCTTACCATGTCTGTTAAAATCTTTGAAATTATTTATCCAGATTAGTATCTCATGTAGAGTCATGGTTTAACCAGGACTGGCTATTGAGCACCAGGTCACCACTCGCTCCCCATGGGGGAGACAAGCAGAAAAGTGAGAAAAGTCATGGTTGGGATAAACAGACTTTGAGATTAAGACAGTTTGGGTAAAAGCAAAAGCTGTGCACACAAGCCAAGCAAAAGAAGGGATTCTTTCACTGCTTCCCAGGGCAGGCAGGTGTTCAGCCATCCCCAGGAAAGCAGGACTGTATCTCATGTAACAGGTACTGGGTCAGACAAATGCCGTCACTCTGAATGTCCCCTGCTCCTCCTCCTGCCAGCTCTGATACAGAACATGACACCATATAATTCAGAACATCCCTTTGGTCATTTGGGGTCAGCTGTCCTGCCTCTGTCCCCTCCCAGCTTATTGTGCACCCCCAGCCTCCTCACTGGCAGGGCAATAGAATAAGAAAAGGTCTTGATGCTCTGAAGGGGCCACTCAGAAATAACAAAGTTTGTTATTATTGTCAACACTGTTTTCACCAGTGTTGGTCCATCCTAGCTACTATTAAAAAATTAACCCTATCCCAGAGAAAACCAGTGCATGTAGGGTTTGTGTGACAAGGGAGGGGCTCTAGGGGTGGCTTCTGTGAGAAGCTGCCAGAAGCTTCCCCTGTGTCCTGCAGAGCCAGCAGCAACCTGCTCCAAGGTAGACCCACCACTGGCCAGGGCTGAACCCATTAGTGATGATGAATAACACAGTTCAAGAGGAAAAACCCTACTGCACACCAGCAGCTGGAGAGAGGAGTGACAATATGTGAGAGAAACAGCCCTGCTGGTGTGGAGGCCAGTGCAGAAGCAGGGGCAGGAGGTGCTCCAGAGGCCAGAGCAGAGATTCCCCTGGAGGTCTGCAGGGTGGCAGAGACTGACCTGCAGCTTGTGCAGGGCTCCACGTCAGAGCAGGGGAAGAGCATCAGGAGCTCTCCTTCTGCAGAGGAAGGAGTGGCAGAGATAATGTGTGAACTGACCAAACCCCCATTCTCCATCCCCCTGTGCCTCTGGTGGGGAGGAAGTAGAGAAATCAGCAGTGAAATGAAGCCTGGAGCAAAGGGAGGGGTGAGAGGGATATGTTTTCAAGATTTGGCTTTATTTTTTATTATCCTTCTGTGAGTTGATTTGGAATAAATGAAATTAATTTTTTCCCCAAGTCAAATCTGTTTTCCCTGTGACAGTAACTGCTGACTGACCTCTCCCTGTCCTTATCTTGATCCATGAGCTTCTTGTTATATTTTCTCTGGCCTGTTTGTTGTAGGAGAGTGGTAGAGTGTCTTTGGTAGGTACCTGACAGCCAGCCAGGGTCAGCCCACCATAATACATTTCTTAGCTTAGAATAAAAAATGTAATACTATATAATAAAAACCACTACTCTGTTGTAAAGATGAATTATGGGAAAGTATATTAATATAAAAAAACTGTATCAAGAAGGAAATGTCTCTGCTAAAAGTACACAAATGCTACCAAATAAAAGTGCTATAAGTGCTTCCAGGGAGCTTGGAAAAAATGGCAATGTGAAGATGATGTGTTTGCTGTGTGTCAAATTAAACTAAGACAACTCTCTTTTCCAGGTCACATGAATCAAAGGGATGAAACAGACAAATGGATTAAGGCTGACACACAAAATGGTAAAGTGTGTCTTAAAAGCCAAAGCTGGATCCAGTCTGTCAAGCTGAAGAGTTCTTAAAAGTGAAATAGGCCAAAGAGATTAAATCAAGAAACTACAAAGGAACATTTCTGTAAAATTATGAAAAGTTTTGGATGAGTATTCTTAATATAAAAGAGAAACTATTAAAAATGAGAGCATTTTAACCCAAGATTTGCCTATGACAGTGCTGGTGCTAAACAGTCTGGTTTTCTTTTAGTGCCTTTTAGGAACAAAATGATCTTACATATTCAGAATTCATATAACTTGACCCACTTACCATATCAGTTTTAAAGCTGATAGCTTTCAAACAAAAGCTTGGAGTTGTCATTTAAAAATTTAAAAAAGCATTTTCAACACTTCCAAGATGGCATGCTTTCCAAGCTCTGTTTAATACTTTTAAATTAAATGTCTCAGTACTGTGGGAATTCTGCTGGTTTATGCAAAACACAGAGAATTTTCTTCAACCAAATTGTATCACGGATAGGAAAAAATCACTTTCAGTGTGGTTCTTATGTGGTCTTTTCATTTGGTGTTTGAACCCTGAGCAGTTTCTGCCTGGGTGATTGGTACTTTCTGTATAAAAATACTTCTGTGAAATGGCAGAACTTGCTCTGTGTCATCCTGAACCTCTGGTTTGTGGCTAGAAAGAAGAACTCCAGCTCTGTCTACCACTGCTCATCTGCAAAGAAAAGCTTTTAAAAGAAATAAAAGTACCATGGATCTGGCTGGTTTCAAGGAGGAGCATCCTCCAACCGGACTTCAGGGGAGAGTCCACCTGCGCATTCCCTTGAAGGAGAAGCTGCCACAGAATGGAAGTGTTGCCCTTGTGGCATTTCAAGGAGGAGCATCCTCCAACTGGACTTCAGTGGAGTCCACCTGAGCATTCCCTTGAAGGAGAAGCTGCCACAGAATGGAAGTGTTGCCCTTGTGGCTGAGAGCTGGAATCTCTTTGTTTGCTCCATCTGCAGTGACTGAGAGCCCTGTCCTGCAAAGCTGCAGGCAGCCCTGGGAGGCAGGAGAGCTGAGGGGAGCAGGTAGGTCTGCACAAGGCAGCTCTGGTTTTTGTGGAGGGTTCTGTGTTACTGTAAAACGAGCACACAGTAAAGTAAATGAGGCTTTTAAAAGCCTTTCCATGCATCTCCATGGCACCTTGTAAAAGGAGTAGTGAAATTTGTGTTTTAAGCTGAAATGTCAGAATTCCTGCCAGCTGAGGGGATGGTGAGGAGCAGGAGAGAATTCAGACTGTCATCTCAGGCTTTAAGTTTTGTATATATGTGTGTGTTCTTTAGCTCATAATGGTACATTATGAAATTAACTTCTTTGCCACAGGATTCCCCAGGAGGTATAATTTTCCCTGGCTAATGGACTTCAAGAGTTAAGGGCAGCATATCTGCTATAATTCAGGGTGGTTAAAAATTCCACCTCCTGTTTATTGTTGTGTGTACTGCTTGTTGGGATGAGGGGGGCACTGATGCATATGACAAATTATATGTATTTTTAATATAAACACTAATATATAAAACATTTATAATAGTATTACTAAAGGCATTTCAATATTATTATGAGTTATTATACTTTTAAAAGTTACAAAATTAATAAATTATAATGGTTTTGTATATCCAGAAAAATATTTGAAACTTATGATTTCTATGCCCTGCTGCAGCCAAAGTGAAAAAGCACCTCAAAATTCACACCACATGAAAACAGTCTAGTAGGTATTTCAGAAGATTGAATCCATTTAATGATCCCACTATTCACCTGAAATACAAAGCCTGTCAGCCTCTGAGATTAAGTTTGTGTTTTTTAAGACTGCAGCATCAGCAAAAATGTAAGGGAGAGCATAGTAAGGAAACATGTTATTTGTTCCATATTCAAAAGAAAGGAAACTCAGACTTTGAATTCATCCATTTTCTAAATCTAGCAGGAGCTGAACATCAAACTTGTTAGTTACTTGCTTAAAGAAGTTTAAATCAGCCAGCAGAAAAATTGTGCTACCACTAAAGCTACTGATTATATTCATTCCAAGCTAAAACATGTTGAGACCAGCTAGGATGTTAATATAAAGGTCAAGAATGAGTTGAAGAAGGACAAACCCTTCCTTATGAGTTTCCCTAAAGGCATTGAACAATATCTTGTTCTGCTCTAATGAGGTGAAACTGTATTTTTCTCTAGACAAGGGAAGATAAGTAGGTTATCAGCAATTAGAATTTGAATGGCAAATCCCTTGTGTGCCCATATATCTTTTTTTGTCCATTTGATGAGAAGACATTCTTGTTACTGGAAAAAATTTATACTCTTAACACTTTTTTCATCTGTGCTTCCTTTAATTTGGTTCTGCTCTCTCAGCTGCCAGCCAGCCCCCAGTTCAGACCTGCAGACATGAACATCAGCTTGTTTAGAGAGTTGGACTCAGCCCAAGAGGCTTTTATGAGAGTGAGGGCTCTGGGTGCACAAGTGACTGAGGCTCTTGACTGCACAAGTGGAGAACTGTGCTTAACTGTATGGGTGTAGTTGTGTATTAAAGAATCTGTAGGCACTGCCTACTCACTGCTCTCAACTCCTCAAGAAGACTGTACTTGATGAGTACCAGCCACATCAAGTGTGAAATTCTTTGGGGAGTCAGTGTTTATGTCCTGGAGTGGACCTTCATGACAAACCTTCCAACACATGCAGATTTATTCAGTGCTTACTCTGCACGGGACTACAAAAACTTTCATTATTGAAAGATGAAGACAGCTTGAATCAACATCTGAGAGTTAGCAGTGCTGTCTGAGGGCAGCTGTCTTGCTTGAAGGCATTCATACACCTGTGAGAAAGATTTGCTATGCTTCCTTGCTAATGCAACAAATAGCCTTTTAATAAAGTGTGATTAGTTTTAAGAAAAAATAACACAGTGGTCTTTTCATGCTCTGGAGAAAAACCCTTGAACTGTAGAGATGCTGCACAATTTCTTAATTTTTCATTTTGAAGAGTTTGTTTTTTCAGGCTCTGATCTGTGTTTTTTGGTGAAGGTGATTATGTTGCCATCCCAGCCATATCCAAGCCAGGAAGGCTGGTCAGCATCATTATGTTCCTGTTTCTCCAGTTCAGCTGTGTATTTCAAGACAGCTTGTCTGCAACGAGAGTTTAAAAATAATAGTGACAAAATTTTTCAGAGGTGGTTTTTACAAGGAACACTAAAAACAGTTTAATGAGGAGAAGTTCCTTGTTGTAACTGAAGCTATCAATATTATAAGGGTGTTGAGGAAAGTAAACCAGAAGATAATTGGTTAGGTTAGAGAGACACAGAAGTAATTGTGTTGGAAGAGGTCTCTGGAGAGTGTTTTAACCTGATGTTGCTTTAAATGTATCCAACTATTCCAGGTGAGTCATGGCTTTGCCAGATGAGTTCTGAGTATCTTTAGGGATGAAGGTTTGCACAGTGTCTGGGATCTTCTTCAAGAGTTTGGCCAGCTTTCTGGTTAAAAAATTAAAGTTTCCTTGTAATCAGAATGTAATCAGAATTTTATATGTGCCACTTTGACAATGGCCTGGCTCTGTCTTGTCTTCTGTATGCTCTGATCACAGTTAGAGACAGCAATAAGGTCTCCTCCATCTCGAATCTTCTCTTGGGACTTAGCAAAGCAATTCTCCGAAGGTTCTTCACACATCACATGCTCCAGCACTTTAATGGTCTTGGTGGGCTTCATCCACACTTGCTCTAGTGTGCCAGCATCTGCCTGAACACACATCTGAGAAGGTGATGCCACTGAAATAATAACACTCTCTTTGGAAGAAAACATAAAACCAAACAAGATAAATAAACCAGCTACAGCCAAAGGTATTACAGCATCTCCAGGGTGTTTTCTCATAGCTCTGTAGGAGGGCTATACTAACTGTGCATTTCCCTCTGTTTTTCTATTTGAACCAGTGTCTTTGGCACCTCCCAAGTATTTTTACCCTTTCCTCATTCACCTGCTTGCTTTTTGGCCAGCCTCTCTACTGTAGGTATCTTCTGTCACCCACTTCTTTTAACATGTATTATTTCAGAAATGGAATTGACTACACAATGGACAGTGCCACAGGAGCCTTATGGTTACTTGCATTTATTGGCACTGGTCCTGGACCTGCAGCAAGGCTGTTCTGCAGTTTCTGTGAGAGCTGAACCAGAAGGGAGTTGTCTGTGATGCCCAAACCTACCCATGACCTCTCCCATCCCTCTCAACATTTTGTGGCCACTGCCCTTTTGCAGAATTAGAACACCAAACTGATAAACTAGATCAAAATTGGAGAAAATCAGGCCTCCTGAGTGAAACACTCTAAAATAAGAAGTGCAACTCTCCCTTCTTTTTCAGCAGCGTCAATCCAGCAATTTTCATTACCTTTCCAAGCTGAAGAAACAGAACCCACCACTTGCAGTCCTGTGAATGTCTCTCTTTCCATGCCTTGTGTGACCTGGCTGCCAGCCCAGTCCCACTGAGCAGAGCACCCTCCTGCCAGCTCTACTCTCCAGAAACCCCCCTGTGCTGAGCAGGCTCCAGGGCTCCTGGGGAAGAGCCAACTCTGCAGCTCCCATCCTCTCCAGGAGATTCAACCTGATCTGGTGTGTCACAGCTGCAGCAAGGCAGGCTTTCTCCCTGCTGGCCAACTCCTAAGGTCTGGAAAAATATGATATACAGCATCCAGACAATACTGGAAAAAAATCCATATTGAAGTGCTCTGTTATCTGCCAATAATGCTGCTACAGTGTTTTTTGTGTTTGTTTCCCAAAGTGGAAATGCTGGAGATGGTTACAAGGGGCAGATGTGCCCAGCTGTAATGCTTGCACCACTGGAGCAGGAAAGGGGAAGTGGGCAGGAGTGGAAAAGGGACAGAATTAACGAAGCAAGAAGGGCTTGTTTTCGACCACTGCAGGATATTTTTTTTTATAAAATGTCCAACACTGACACACTCTATGAACCACAGGAACACAAGGCTGCATCTGTTTTTATATTAGGGAGGCCTGTGCCATTGAGGAATGTGTGCACAATTTATATGAGCTATAAGTTCTGACCTATAAAAAATCAACTCATCCAAGTCCAAATTCCTGTTTTTCATGGAAACTGCAATGTATAGCGGCTGTCTGAAGCATGTATGAGGGGAGCTGTTACTACTTTTTTGGAAACTTATGGTGTCCCATGCCTGGAGCTACAGTTGAGTGGTTGGCCAGAAACAGCCATTCATTAATCATCAACACATGGTAAAAAGATTGTTTATTTAAGATACTGTACTATGATAGAGCCTGATTCTTTTATTTATTTATTTATTTACTGTCTTAAATGAGCCAATTGATGAATAAAAGTATTTCAGCCAATAATTACAGTTATCTTTGGCAAACCAGCTATCTCTTGGTATAAGTCAGACAAAAGTACTGGCCCAAACACAGGGCTTGAGCAGCACTGGAATACCTAATTGAATCCTTACCCAAAGTTTGAATCCATTTTACTGAGAGGGGGTAACTGGGAAATACAGTTCTGGAACATGGTATGAATCCTGAGCCATTCCAAAATTCAGCAATTTTTCAGAATCACAGAATGTGTAGAATTGGAAGGAACCCACCAGGATCATCAAGTCCAACTCACAGCACCATTCCCAAGAGTCACAGCACCATTTGCCCAAGAGCATTATCCAAACACTTCTTGAACTCTGTCAGGCTGGTGCTGTGACCACTGCCCTGGGGAGCCTGTTCCTGTTTGACTGGGTCCATCATAATAAAAAGCAGAGATTTTGAAAAAAAACTTATTGAGCTGAGGTTACAGAAACCAATCAACAGTAAAAAGTAATTGAAAATAAAAACTCGAACATGGGAGAAACGTTTATAGTGCAAATGCAGAGAAATTAAGCAAGTAGAGGCAGGGAGCTAATGGGAAAGGCAGGAAGCATTCTGCAGGCATGCTCCAGATTACAAAATGTGGTAAGTCTACATAGGATCTGAAGTATTCTGAGGTCCATATCAGCTGCAGTAGTTTTATAATTTTATGGCATCTGGTTCATCTGCACTCAGTGGCACTCCAGGAGCCTCTGTGTCACTTCCAAAAAGAATTAGAGTCAGTGAGAAGACAGTACTGTGCAGGGGGTCTTCATTTCCAATTTCATGTTTGTTGGATTTTTCCTGCCCTGAGACCTGAATATTTGGATAACATCTAAGAAATTTTGGTTTTTTAGGAAAAAAAGAGTTCTTTCAATCTCCTTTCTAACAAAGAGCAGCCATTCGAAAGCGCAACAACAAAACCAAACAAAAAGTCTTCTCCAAATGTCAAATGTATTGTAACTATTAAGACCTAATGTAATTTTTGTTTAAAAGGCAAAAATTGTAAGAGGATTTGTTGATGAGTTTCTTGTTAATAGCATAGTCATGAGTTTAGCAGAAATGTAACCAGTTTAATGTTAGTGCAGACAAGAAAGGAGGAAGCACCTAATTTTGAATAATTTAAGAAGATATTTTCGGGGAACTAGACTGTTACAGATGAGATGTAGTTTGGGGAAATTACAAGACTAGCTGGCTTCTCTGTCAATGACATATTTCCTTTCTCATTTTGTATGTAAAAATATTAACACAGAATGTTTTACAGGGAAGAGAAACATTTCTCTAAAGATGCCAGTGTGTTATTTCCTGTAGGAGTAGTCTTAAGGAAATCAAACTGACACAACCTTTTCCTACATTTTAGAAAGAAGTGAGTTAGGCTGTTTTTTCTCTAGCAGAAGAAATCAATTGTACCAGCACTATGTACTTCCATGTTAGATTATCCATGATTCTTTCTGCCATTTAAAAACTGGATTAACTGAAAGGTCATTAGCCTCTGGATACAGAAATATGCAGCAGGATACCAAGCCACAGACCTTTTTTTCTTCCTAATATTTATTAAACCTGGAAGCAGGGCAGTATGTTGGAAAATATAATCTCAAAATCTACTTGATACTGGAAAGAATGAACAATTGAAAGCCTATAACTGTTTCCTATGAAGCTGCATTGGACTGAAACTTGAAGAACTTTGTGGCTCCACATGTTTTCTATTTTAATCTATCCAAACAGTAAAAATTAAAAAAAAAATCAAAAATAATGTGCACAATACAAGAGATATGACTCAATACTTGCAAGGTTTAGTCTATTAAGAAATGTCTGCTAGGACTGGTTAGTATTTAACAATAAATAATGGGGAATTCCTTTGGAACAATGAAGTAATATTTTATGCCACAGATATTTTAAGGCAACTTTAAACTAAAAACATATTGCTTCTATTGCTTATTTAGAACCTAAGCCACTAGCATGTTTAATTCTGCAGATGAATGTGATTTTTACCTAGATTGCCTCTTCCATCTCCTTAAACAGGGAATGAAATTTCTCTACAATGTAGGTTTCACACTCTCAGAACATAAATTACTCCTGAAACCCGCTCTTACCTTCTGTGAAAATCTAAGAACCTGAATGTGGTTTTAAGAGTTAGTCTGAAAACAGAGAATTAGGGCCCCTTTTTAGTTTTTCTGACAATCTTTTGCTTGTCATTCATTACTAAAAACTTACAGGTTGTGAAAGAAACACATAGTTTTATAGAAATAGGTGACAGCGAAATACTGCCATTGCTGTTGATGTAGTTGAAAAGCTACTGCAGGATAACTAACTCTAGAATCATGCCATATTTTACTGTGCTTTTCATGTAGTTATTGGCAGAAGATAAAATTTTTATCATCGTTGCCATATTGACCTTGAACTGCAATTAAAAAAAAAAGATTTTCCTAAACTGGGAGACATGCAGGATGCAGAATCTACCAGAATCTCACTGTGAACTCACTTTTATCTTCTAAATATCATTGCCAGTATATTCTGTGGCCTGGCAAAATCTAGGGTGAGATGTCTTTGAACCTGTTGGAAGGAGCAAACAAAAAATGTTCAAGACTGCATTATTCTGTATCAATAATCAATCCACCTAGTAGGTTTTGTCCCAGACTCAGATGGTGCAGGATGGGAGTTCCCTGTCACTGAATATGTGGTGTGAAGGGTTAGAGACTGTGGCTGGCAAGGAAAAAAAACATCCACTGTCCAGAAAATGAGACCCAAGAAAATAAAGTTGGCAAAGTTTACCTAGTTCTAAACATCACAAAAAGGGCAAAGATAACACAGGGTGGAGACATGTGCCTCATGGTTGCCTTTTTGTTTTGCAAAGATGTGTAACTCTCCAGGGTTATCTTTAGAGTAAAAATAACTGGTTGGGAAATTCCTTGGCTGGGTTTAGAAGAGTTTAATCAAGACCTTTGGAGAACCCATTGCACATGGGACTCTTAGGCAGAGGCAAAATCCTGGGTCATCCCAGGCCAGGATAATGCAAATGGGTTTCTGAGAAGTCATGTCAGCTCCTTGATGATGGCTCACCCAGCACAAACTGGAATTTGCACAAATTTCTGTTCCCATTACATCTCACTTCTACAGGAAGATGGATTGGCAAGCAGAATCAGACACACTGTTGCTGCTCTAAATAGATATATGAAGTCACAGAATAAACAAGTCAACAACAGTAATCTGAGGATAAAAGAAAATCCCTTGAGGCTTAATATGAGAAAAACTGTAAATCAAAAATTATGAAGAGATTAAATGAATCTGAATTAATTTAATTTTTTTTTTCAATTACTGCTGTTGTATATCAATCCTTCAAAGCACTTTCTGTATCTAACAAGTGTTTAATTAGAAGTAGAGATTTTAAGGCGGAAGTTCTAAGATGACATTGAGAAAAATACATCTTAGAGAAGTGAAGAAAATAAGACCAGTGAGAGCAGAATTTTTTGTAGTAAGACAGGGAAATAGTAGAGGAAGATTTGGAAAGTGTGAAGCACACGGGATATACCTTTTGAGTTATTAAGTATGTGTACTGTGGTCTCTCAAGCAGCTATTAAACCCTGGAATGGCTTAGCAGGAAGTACAGTACTTCCAGAGGACCTGTTACAGTACAGTTAGAGCTCTCCTGGTGTAGGCTGTCTCATAGGATGGTATTATATATTTCTTATTCTTTTTTATTAATTTATATACTCAGATATATCAACCATCTCTAAACTTCAGTTCCTTTCCAATTTCAGGCCCTGTGGCATGTCTGGCTACTGTGCTGTTCTGGGTGTACAGGGCCTGGTGTGTAATACTCTTAACCCCCATGGAAGGGTGGTGGGTATTGAATCCACATCTTTTGAGACTCACAGGTGAAAACTCAGTCCTCCCAGTTTTTAAGAAAGGTAAGGAGGAAGGCTCTGGCCTTCCAGTCTCACTTCAGTGCCTGGTAAAATTATAGAGAAGGTTGTTCTGAGAGTAACTGAGAAATATTTGAGAGACAATGCGGTCACTGGGCACAGCCAGCATAGGTTCATGGTGGGGGGAAGTCCTGCTTAACCAACTTTATTTCCTCTAATGACAAGGTCACCTACCTAGCTGACCAGAGGAGGCCAGTAGATATGGCGGGTTTAGATTTCAGCAGAGCTTTTGATACTGTCTCCAAAAGTATCCTGGATAAACTGTCCAGAACTCAGCTGGGCAAGTCCATAAGTGAGCAACTGGCTCACAGGTTGGGCTCAAAGGGTTACAGTAAATGAGGTTATATCAGGTTAGTGGCCAGACACCAGTGCTCAATTTGTAATGTTTTTATAAATTATCTGGATGCAGGAATTAAATGTAAAGTGTGCCAATGATACTAAACAAGACTCCCTGCGGGGTAGAAAGGAGCTACAGAGAGATCAGGACAGACTGAAGAGCTGGGCAGTTGCCAGCTACATGAAACTGAGCAAGAGCAAATACTCAACTCTTCACCTGGGATGGGGTAAACTTGATTATACATATGCACTGGGGGATGAAAGGCTGGAAAAAAGCCCTGCAGAAAGGGATCTGGGAGTCTGGGTCTATGGAAAGTTGAAAATGAGTCAGCAGAGCCCTGGCAGCCAGGAGGGCCACCTGTGTCCTGGTGACATGAGGCACAGCATGGCCAGCTGGGCAAGGGAGGGGATTGTCCTGCTCTGCTCTGCTCTGCACTGGGGTGGCCTCATCTCGAGTGCTGAGGGCAGTGTTGGGCACCACAATGTAAGAAAGACATTAAACTATTAGAGACCATCCAGAAAAAGGTGACCAAGATGGTGAAATGTCTTGAGCACAAGAGTTACAAGCAGCAGTTTATGTCACTTGGTTTGTTCAGCTTGGAGAAGGGAAGGCTGAGGGGGAAGGGCTGACCAATGATAAGGCACAGTCTCTGGCAGGGGAAGTTCAGACTGAACTTTAAGAGAAGGTTCTTAGAGGTTGGTCAGTAAAAACCAGCCTGGGAAAGTGGTCACAGCACCGTAGCTTGACTCGCTCGCTGTAACCTGCTGTGTTGTGAGCACAGGCACAAATCTACTGCCACGTACTGACACTCAGTCACTGGGAAACAGGATCCCACAGACCCTTGGAGAGAGCTCAAGTACACAGTGAGATGGCTGAGAGCATTAAGCCCAGCCTGGTTTTCCCATGTGTCCTTGAGGTAGTGTCCTTTGTCAGCAGAAACATCCCTAAGAGGACATTGTCTGCCATAAAGAGACAGAGTCTGTATCTCTGTTCACTTCTGGCTGACACTGGAATATGCAGATAACCCTGCCAGACCACAGGAGTCCCAAGGCATCAATAGGGACACCCCCTGGATAAAGAAGTAGATGGGTCAAGCCAGATACCTAGCATGGCACCATGATGCCAGTGAAGAAAAGAACCTCATGTTTTGGGGTTAACAACCTCCTCTGAAGTAAGTCTAGGAAATATTTTCTTGGTAATTTTTCTACAGTACAGTGTTGTGAGAATTTGAAGTTGCTCACAGCCTTTCAAGATATTTCAGGTATTGTCAGTAAGATGAATACAACCTGAAATGTCCAAGAAGGGGAGATAATGGCAGGCTGCAGCCAAGTATTGGATACATGTATCAATAATCTGTAAATGAAGCAAGAAGTCATGCAGAATTTAAAAGATTATTGAATAGATTTTAAAAAATGCCCAGAGAACAACTTTGTGTCTGATTGGTAGGAAAAATATTTTAAAATTGAAGTAAGGTTTCTGGCACAGCAGAATTCTGAATCTCTGCAAGAGGCTCCACAGAAACTGTCACTTTCTAATATTAGATATTAGTTAACTGCGATTGCAGTCTGGTTTTAAATATTGTGGGGTTTTTTTCACCTACTGAGAATGGTTTAACTTTCTCACCCATATATGTGCATGTAGCAGATACAAGCCTTTAGTATTTGTGCTACTGCATTGCTCTCTCTAAATTGAGGATGCGCTTGTATCACATTTTAAACTCAGTTCTCTGTTACAAATGAGTGTCTCACACCAAGACTTTTTGAATATGTGGTTGTTTTTTTTAGCTCTGCAGCACAACTCCTTAGTTTCACCTCGCAAGTCCATTTTTCAGGAACTGATACTCATTGCCCTTAATGCTGGAAGTTGATTTGAGAAAAACATGACACACAGTCTTCAAGGTACATAAGCAGCCATGCAAGCTAATAATTGCTCCACTGACCTCAAGAGCAGTCAAGAATACATTATGCACATACTTTAATTACTTTGTTCATTCAGGACAAAAAATCTAGAGGGAACATAGTAAAAACCTGTTGAAGACATTTGATTAAAATCACTGGAGCGAAGTGGTAGAAAGAGAGATGAGAATTTCACTTGTATTAAACAGCCAATCTCATGAGAATCTATAAGGGACAAGATAAAGATAAAGCTGGGGCCTGGGGTTGTGGAACAAAAAGTTCCTGTCACACTATCTCATTATAGTCCTCATGGTATATAGAGGAATGTACATGTGCTTTGCTTATTCCAGATCTATTTATATGCTCAATATTAAGATCTGCAATAGATTAATAAATAATTAAAAATATTTTTAAGTAGATTCATATTCTTATTTTAAAAAAAGTTGCTGACTCTGAAGTCAGTCATAACTGGTATCAGATGCATTTAGAAAAATCTACATTTGTCATATGCTGGATCCTATTCCCTTTAGAGGACTAAATGACAGAATTCATTATTCATTCTATTGTATCTTCAGAACTTAGCTATTTAAAAGGCCAATTCATTTAACCAGAGATTTATTTTCAGTTCTTGCTGTATTTTTTCGCATGTAGAATATTTCCCACAACAATTTCATTTTTTTTCCTATGAAATAGGAATTACCCTTGAATCAGGCTCATTCCCTGAATAAGGTCAGAACAGAACTGCTGAATATTTTATACAATCAGCATTTGAAAAATTACTTGTACGTGCCCTAGGCATACAGAACCATGACATGGAGACTCACAGCACCTCCAATGAAGTCACTGGAGTTTGTTGAAAGACAATTGATTTGATTCAGAATATAGGATTAAAGTTATAAACTCTTCTAATTTTTTCAGAGTAACATGCAAACCACATTCAAAATATCCTTAGTGTACATCTATTTCTATGTTAATCTAATATTTTAATATGATATATAATATTTCTATATTAATTTTTAAATTATTTTTCTTAAAAATAAGATACCTGAAGTTGCAGGACACATTAACACATATCCTTTGGAACAGGTTCATTCCAACTTTAATTGCCTGACCATTTTTAAACAGTTTCTGAATGGAAAATATTTCTTTACTTAGCAGCTGGATACCCTCAATTTACACTACAGATTGCCAAAGGATTTGTAAGACCCATTAGCTTTAACATCCACAGGTGTACCCATCTCATTTTATAGAGCTGCAAGCTGGATTCAAGTCAAACAAACACTTGTAAACTTATGGGTAGGTTTATGTGGAAGAGTCTCAATGTTCTTTTCTGAAAATAGTAGGGTATTAGCATTTAACAGATTGGCTTTATAAGTGTTTAAAAAAAGATACCATCTAGGAACAAAGTGTTGGAAGGGGATTACTGGGTCACTGAGTTGACTCATTTTTCCCATTTGCAGGAACTGCAAAATACGACCCAGTCCATTCCTTACCAAGAGCCATACTAACATTCCTTAACCCATCTCCCAGTTGCCAGCCTAAATGTATTTACTGACATTTTATGGTGTTTGTTTTGTTTTGTTTTCCTGTGTTGGTATGTCATGTTGGGCAGACAGGACTGATGGCAGCACACATACTTCAACTGCTTTGGGAAGACCTCTGTGCACAACTTCTATTACCGCTGTCATCGTGGAAAAATAGCTCTATCTAAACCCAAAGGAAACAGGAGGTTAGGACCCATGTATATAATAATTGTGGTGTGCAGTAGGTGTCTGTAAGATATAAACCAAGGGCTAGTGTAAGACAGAGAGTGGCCTCCCAGATCTGAAACACAGCCAGTGAGCTTTGGCCTAGAGGCTGAGAAACTTATGTACGTTTGGAAGGCAAACAACTTGATCAGAGAACATCTAAATTTAGGGCTGGCTAATTAGTTGGCCAAATAATCTCAAATTAGTTATTATAGGGATTATATTATAGTCATTAGGGAATGAGGGGATGCGTGTAGGACTGGAAGAATAGTCAGGGTTATGGAGATGGGTGTTGGTGAGGAGGAAAGCAGGGACAAGTGATGGCTGCAGACACTGTGGAAGGAAACAGGACATGGGCATTTCAATGGGGAAAAATGAGGAAAAACTGGTTCATTAAGTGGCTTTTCCCATTAAATTTAAACAAAAAATGAAACCAGCATTTTAAAAATTGTGTTTGTATGCTTATTTTCAAAATGAAGCAAGTTTTTGGTGTTTTTTTTTTTTCTGTTAAAAAAATTAAAACTGCATAAGTAATTAAATTAACAAAAGCCAGAGCTAATAAGTCAGAATGTACAGGGAAGGGATATAGGCTTTCATAACAACATAATTTCAAAAAGGAATCCACATTCATATGCAGCAAGAAGATAATTGAGATGCCAGGCTTTAGTAAAAAAGAAATTATACAGAAAATACAAGCAAAAATGCTTTAATAGAAGTTCGTGGTAAAGTGGAAGTAAGTTTCACTACAGATGAATCTTAATCTAAATAATTTAATTTCAACCCTGAGTGCTTCAGCATTTAAGCACCTCTTTTATTTCATACTAGCTACAGCCTGGCCATGTAAAGACACAGGTATTAAGTTCCCAGTTTATGCTTTACCTGGGTTCAGAAAAAGCACTGGGAAAAAAAAACAAAACATGAAAATATAAGAACTAATTTAAACAAAGCCACAACCCTTTCAAAGCACCCAATACACCAGAACCTGGGAGAATATTTGCAGAACATGATATATAATGTGAAAGCTCTTCTCTCTTTACCCTTGTATAGACATCAACCCCCGGAGAGAAAAACTTTTACCTGATACAGTGTGGACACCTTCATACTGTACCTGCAAAAATTAGAAGAATGCTAAATACTCCCAAGAGGCAAGTCTCAAGTCTTAAAACTCACAGAAAAGCAGCTGAATGATGCCAGCAGGTCAAATTTCTGGATAAAATAGTAAGTATTATTTTTTGCAATAGCAATCCCAGAACTGTCACCCTATTTCTTGTGCATACCTTTGGGCAACCTCCTATGTTGACAGATGTCAGTGTGTGGCAGTGAAATGCCATTGTTTTCACAGCTTCATCTGTCAGCTGAGGGCAGGAAGAGATGTGGCAGTGTTCCAGTATTCTGTGCCCTTGCAGAACTCAATTACAATGCTTGTACGTCAATCCTTTGATCCACTTCAGACGCTTCAGTTCTCTAGGTACCCTTCATTAGTAGTGAAGTCATTCTGCCATTGACTGGGAACGTAACTAGAAAAAGAAGAAATGCATTAAGGGGCTATTTTTAATTGTTTATATATTATACTGTGGGTTTATTAGACTAACATTTATGTAAGTTCCTATGTGTATATTAAAACATGTTGAATTTGGGTTCTTTAAATTGAGCAAAACCCAGAACATAAAATGTTGTGCTTAGAGAACCAGGCCCAAATAAATTCATTCTACTGCTCTCTGCAAATGCCCAGTTTTGTGCATAACACCTTTTTCCTTTTCTTTTTATTCTCTTTTAAATGAACAGAAAACTGTATCTGTATAAACGACATTATTTTTTTTTTTAAGGGAATGGGTAAGAGCCTCAGGACTGTCACTCAGGAGTTCTGGGCTCTGATTTGCTCTGTGGAGCTCAGGCCAGTTAACTGTGATACTGGTTGACTACAATTTCTATCCTAGTTTTTAGAGTGAATAAACATTTGCAGATACTACTGACTCCAATTCCAGCACCTTTATAACACAAATACTAGCTTTTTCATATATTCTGTGAAGCAGATAGTCTTGGAAAATAGCAATGGAACTCCTGTGAAAGGTCACTTAGATTCTTAAAATATACTTTTCTCCTCTGCACTCTGAAACTTTTTTTACCTTTCAGCCTGGATCTTTTCCCAGCCTGAAAACCATCACTTCTAGCCTTACAAAGAGAATTTAGACCTTCTACTGAAACCTTCTCTGGAAACCTCTTGAAAAGAGATGCCTAAAATCACATTTCTTCACCTTCATGACATGAGGATCACAGGACAGCCTGCAGCTCCACCAGAGCTTTAGCTTCAGTCAGAATCTCTCCTCTTCTCTCATATCCAGCCTAAAATCCTGGTGAGATGCCCTAAATGTGTCACTGAGCTAGGTTCCAGGCCTGCTAATCTTGGCCTAAGGCCAGAGTAATTTGCCATTTTCTGGAATAGCAATTCTACCTCTACAGGGAAATCAAGGAAGTAGATATAGTATATTGAATAAAAACCACTGGTTGCATGAAGCTTTTCAAAGCTTTCAAGAATTAGTCCTGATGCAAAAAGGCTAAGCACCACACAGATAAATAAAATGTGTACACACACAGAGACACAAAAATGCATGTATTTATTATGCACTAATGTTATATATTTATCATTCTGAAAAAAATACCTCTGCAGCAATCAGACTATTTCCACTAACACACAGCTAATTTTTCCTTATGTTGCATAGGAACTCTCACAATAGCACAGAAAATAGATCACTAGCAAATATTATTTTTATTATGACAAAAGAGTATTTGTTTCTGTGTGATCTTCCTAAGTTTTACCGAAACAGATGCAAAGAAGCTTATCAGATCTGAATTTTTTTTTCATAGTCCATACTTTTAAGATTTTTGTCTGTATTTTCACCCTGGTTTCATTTTCTTTTTGTCTATTGATACAGCTATATCAAGGCAGTTTTTCTCAGGTTTTGAGTCCTTGTTTTATTTTACAAAATATTAGTGTCAATGTTTGAACCTAGGATTGGTTAAAGTGGAAAAATCAGGATTTATATTAATTGGCTTCTCTACCCTTCCTATTTCAGTCTTGGATTTATGAGCTGTTTTTCACCTGTAATACAGAAACATTCTACACCCAGCAACTAAACATTTTTCATCCATGTGCAAGAGAAACTGCACTTCTTTCAGAATTAGGCCTCAGATGTGATGACTTAATCACTACATTCTCAGCTAGGGTATGTAACACAAGCTGAATCCAAGATTTCAATGCCTGTTAGATATGTTTATCTTGTTTTTACTAGCATAGCTTGTCCACATACTTATTTAAAATATCCTTCAAAGTTAGTTCTGAATTTGCTCTTAACTTTAAGTCTACCCCTACATGCTTTTGCAAATAGCATTCGAATTAGATTTGCAATCAAAAGAGATGGAGCTCTGTTTACTTGCTTCATCTCTGTATCCCTGGTTATATATCTATAGAGAAAATAACAGATGAGTTTGAGGATAAATTATGTTTGCAAGACATTTAGTCACTATAAAAGTCAAATGCCATATGAAGAATATGTAATTTTCTAACTTAATTGCACAATTTTAGTTCTGTATAAATAAGGCCTGAGGACGAACACAAACATCAATGAAAAGGTCAAATACTAAATTGCTGTTCATCAAGTGAGCATCATCTGGGTTATGAATGAAAAAGGACCCTGTTTTCAAAATATGGGATCTCATAAGTGTTTACATTCTGTTATAGTATCTGGGAACAGGCAGTGTGATTACAGTGGGATTAATCTCTACAAATTTTCCATAAAATCATATCCTTTGATTCAATTTACAAAAAAAGACTTGTCATTTTGTTTTGAGTTTCTCTCTTTTTATTTCTCCTGCCTTCCTTAGATCCATGAAAACAGAGCTTCTGCAACTCCTACATGTGCTCCCTGCTGCTGCTTTTTTCCTCAAAAAAAAAGTTCAAATTCATTTGGCAAGCAGGGAAAGCAGAAACACTTCTTTTTAAGACTTTTTTTGAACTTCCTCTGTGTAATGAGACACCTGAAATAGCTTCTTGGCCATGAACATGGCACAACACAGAAGTGAATATTCTCCTCAGAGAGCAGCAGCACTGGCACCACACGACTTTCCATGAGGTACACAAGATGTACATACTTGGTCATTAGTAAAAACATGGAACTTTACACAGAACATTCATGAAAGACGAGTCAGAATTATTCCTAGAGAAGCAAATGGCCTGACGTGTGTGTTGAGCAGCAAGATTCAATCCAGATGTAGCTCTTGTGGTACAACAACTGACTCATTTTTTACAATATATGGCTATAAAATGGTGGATGCTGAAGATTTGTAATGGAAAAAATGTAGAAGCTGAGGACTGGGATTATGTGATGGCATTGGCTGTACCTGCAGCTTTATGATCTGCAACTCTTTATGGGCATGAAATCGATACCATTAAAAATATATTATTTAAGCATTTCTGTTATATATAGTTAAGAATGATTCTCAGTTACAAAAAAAAGTACTCTTATTTGGATGTCAATTCCTAACAAGATAGATGTTTCTTTCTATTACTATAAAGGTACCTGCTAGTGTTTATTTCTCATACTGTTTTGAAATACAAAGTAAAACCAAAACCAAATACAAAGTAAATCTATGCAATCATTGAGTTTGTCAAATCTCCAAAAGGATTTTGGTAAACTTCAAGCAACCTGTGATAAGGATGAGGAATTTCACAGTTTAACCATGCATTTTGGAAACAGTGATTTCCTCTTCATTCTGAATTTTCAGACCAAGTTGATTTCATGCCCACTAGGTTCTGCATGGAAGTAAACAGCAAAAAACTGCCCCCTCTTCACCCTTTTCAAGCCAAAATTGAAAGGATCTCAGGCATATGGAGCTGTAGGAATGAAAGGGGGGAATTTTGATGTAGAATGGTGTTATGAAGAATGAAGGATGCAGAACATGTTGCATGCAGAACATGTTTGGGGGGGGGGAGAACAAGATCAGTTTTGGATATGGTTAATTTAATGAACTAGAGGGGCTTCCAGGGAATACCAAGAAAAAGGCAGTTTTACCTGAATCCCCTTGTCACTGAAGTTTTTGTATTGTGATATAGAAAGTTCCAATATTTTTCCATGGCAGCCAAGGGCTCTCAAGCCCTAAAAAAAATCTGGAAAAATTAATAGAGGAAGGGGAAAAAAAATCTGTTTTCCTACCTCTTAAGAAACAAAGAAACTGAAGAAAGGTAGTGTGATGTGAAATACTTCCACCAGCAAAACACATTTACGGATCTCCAGAATTTGGGGTGGAAGAACTTTTCACTATTTTTTTTTTGGGGGGGGGGAGGGGATATTGTTGTTTATTTCGTTTGTTTTATCTGGGTTTTTTTGTTGAAAGAACAAAATACTACTTGCTGAGATCAAATGTCTTAAAATTACTGCCTTACCATTAAGAGCTTTTTGGCTATAGCTATAGCATAAGACAACATTTGAAATGGTGCTGTCACACTCAAAAGTGTATGAACAGCCCCCTTATTCAAGACAACAAGGACTGTCATTAGGACTGCAAAAGGATCTAAAGATGTTTTGTGATTTTTACTGCTTCTACACCAGGAAACTGGGCAATGTTCTGATCCTAAATGCTCTAATTTGAAGGAAAATTAAATGTTGATTTTGTAAAACTCATTTTGATAATCACAGCAGAATATCTCTGTACTTCATATCAATAAAGTAAACTTTACTGGAAAAAAAGTTATGCCTTTATTCCATATGTTTAATAAGTTATCTACAATTAGACAGTGAACAGCACTGCCTAATTGTAGGCAGAGAGGAAGTATCATCCTGGAAAAACAAACACATGTAGATAGTGTCTGGAACCCAGATGTGGACACTGTAACGATAATGTTGGAAGAGTGCGGCTGGAGTTCAAATTTTGCAGATTCCTGAAATCTCACAAGCTGAATAGATACAAAAAATGGAACAATGAAAAAAGTTTCCAATCCTGGCTCCTTATGCAAATATAAAACTTTGCATTTTTCTCAGCAGAGGGTGTTGTCTGGTGAAAGGTACTTTCAACAGCTTTGTGAAAATCCACAGATTTCAAATTTTTGTTGACTAGAGTACTTCTATTCAAGACAATAAAATAGTTATGTGCTTAAACTAAAATGGGTTTATGCCAGAACTTGAATTTCTTACAGCAAAGACTGATGGTCTGATAGGTGTGATCTCAAGGACATAATTTGTTCTTGCATTTTTCTTTACTTAAAAGTGGCACCACTTTAATGTACTTGCTAATGAAATACTAAAGAATATAATAAAGATTTTTTTTTGCTACATGACAATTAATGCTGCTATCACTTCAAAGTTAATTTATAATAATTTTATATTACTAAAGTGATGTGAAATCTCAGAAAAACTATTTTTATAAATTAAAATCAATACATTGCGACATTTTGTTAGCAATTACAGATTTAAGAAAAAGAGTGAAGACTTGAAAGACAAGGAATGTCATTAGGACATTACATAAAAAACTATTAAACTTTCATGTTTCCAAAAAGCAACTCTTCAAACAATTTTTATGCAGAAAGCTTAATCTATATGAAATTTTTAACAATTGTTTTTGTATGTAATATACATACAAAGGCATCAATGAGCACTAGTTTTATTAGACTGCCTGATTTATTCCCTGGTAAATGTCAGGGATCACCATCCAGGATATTGACCTCTTTCTGGAAAATTTAGTCTTCTACACTAGATCTACTCACATTTATGGAAAATATGGTTGGAGCTACCATATTGGAACTCCTGGAAACAGATGCTGGCAAAACAAATACTGTGCAACACACAGACTAGGGTCACCCACTCTAGGATCACCCACTCTCCAAAAATCTCTTTCTCCTTCAGCGTCCAGAAATTACTGCTGTATTATCTTGGATGCATCTTCCATTGCTATGGAGAAAGGGAAGACTTTGTCCAGCATCTCTTCTATAGTATATTGTCATTTCCATTTTGAAAACAATTTAAAAATAAACTTCTTGATCCTCTGTAACAGCTATTTTTTTTAGTAATTTTTACTTTTTTTTTTTTTAGTTACTTTATGTCATAAGGCCTACAGACATTTGCAGAACATAATTTATTATTATTTCACCATGGTTTCTGTGGGTAAGAAAATGATAATGACTATACCAGTTGGTAAGGGCTTCACTTGCTAGAGACAAAAGCCACCTGAGGCTATGACATAACAAAGAATAAGTCTTCATTATTTGTATTCTTATGCTGAAAGTCTCTGCCTTTCTACTGCAGACTGCAATGAATGCATTGTCTCTCTCTAACAATAACTGTGTGCTAGGGTATTTCCAACTTCTTCTGAGATTTCTGTCCTCCTATCTCTTTACAACCTTCAAGGTCAGCATCTGTAATGTATCTTTATTCCAGAGATATACAGATGTTACTTCCTGTTCACAGTCCAAACCAAACAGATAGATTGGCTCCAAAGTGACTCCAGTCCTTTGACAGCTCTTAAGAGGTGTCTCCCACCATCTATGCCTGAGCCATTTACTACTAAATTACTCAATTTATCCTCTAAAATGCCCAGATTTCTGCACAGATTAGCCACAGATAGACACCAGTGTCATGGATTGAACACTAGAAGAGAAAAAAGCAATTCTTACCATGCAGATTCATTTTGCTATTAAAAATACATATGTGTCAGGACAAAGTTCAGATTCACATAGTAAAAACCTCCTGGGAAATGGGTAAGCAAATGTAGCTGTACTGTTTTTAATACCTGAGGTAATATGATGGTGAGACAGATCTGTTTTCAGGAACTGTAGGGACATTTTTCTTTTGCAGCATAGAAAACCCCCTGTATAACACATGCCATAAAATTCAATTTCTATACCTAACACCATTTGTGGTTAGAGCAGGTCATGGTTTACAAACTGTGATTGCCAATGTTTCTTGAGACAGTCCAAATAACAGGAATTCCATTGTAACAAGATATCCTGTAACAATATCAAGCCTGATTTTCAACATTGCTAAGTACTTTTAATTGCAGCTGATTTGCATTGGGACTCCAGGTGCTGGCACATCTGGCACTGATCACAATGAGTCTGTTTTAGTATTTCCTATTTTTATGTAGCATTCAGTTTCTAAGTCTCCAGATTAAATGCTCTCTTTCTCCAGTCTCCTAAACAAGCTGGAATTTGATGCCCACTTTAATATACATTAACTTTTTCTTTTCCCTGCCTTGGGAATGTGTAGGCTTTGTCACTTCCTTTCCTTTGGAAATCAAATGCAACTACCTCATTTACAGTGTGTAGCTGCTTATATCTATTAGACACAACAATATATTTTCCTTAACTGTTACAAGGCTATTCCTCAGTCCTAATGGCCTAATTTTCTAACAGACCAAAAAGCAAAGCCAGACTATGGATTCAAGTCACTGCAGATTCAGAATCACACTACAAGTGCTAAAATATTCCTCTAGATTGATGCCATTTTTGTTTGGGCAGGGGTTTTTTTCCCCCTATTTAGAAACTTATTATTAAAATATTAGTAAAAATTTATGTTGCAGCCTGGCCTTCAGGACCAGTCAGGATCTGAAGCTCATTAACACATAAGAAATTATAACAGAACTAAGTGTTTACTCATTCATAGAACCTCTACTCTGGAGTACCCAATGATTGTAAAGCATCCCCAACTTCAAACAGCAACTACACACACACACCAGCAACTCATCCAGAAGAGAGAATGGGGCCTTAGATAATTAGAACAGAAATTTCATGCATGACAGTGTCACAGCATATGCCACAGCACACGCAGCAGTTGAGACAGCCACGATACACAGACTATCACCATACAATATCAGAAGGTTTCAACCCAGACAGAGGAACACTACCCCAAAAGGCTGCAAGCATCTGCCCTTCTTGTTCTTCAGCCCAATCTTTTATCCCCCCAAGTTCATTCACTGCCCCTGTGTGCCCTCTGTTCCTTTGGAGGTTGGTCAGTGCCCCCAGGCACTCCATGGCTCATTGCTGTCAGTGCTGCTCACCTGCTTTCCACAGCTGAACCCACTGGGGATGAGGCTCAGCCACAGCCCCACTCCCAACTACCACAAACTGTACCTACATGGCAGAGGAATAGTGGAGAAGCAGTTATTACACTGCATATAACTCACCCCTAGTACTAAGCTTGCTTGAGCCAATGTCAGGGCTGTTTTTGTTCTTGGATGCTTTATGTAACTCAGGAGTCAACTAAGCTTATTTTATTATTCTTTGCTATGTTTTTCTGTCTAAATCCTGCTTGATTAAAGACATTTTCTTCAAATGTCCTAACACTTTTATACCAAATTACTTTTCTAATGTCCCAGGAATATGGGTGGTCCAGGCCATATGCATCAGCAGCTTGTGTTGGAATGAGGGAAGTGGGGCAGCTGCAGGCTCTCAGACTCACCCTTGGAGCAATGCTGCCAGAACCTTGTCATGTAGACATTGGGGAGAAATCAAGACATTTTAACAAACATATGGAGAGTGTGAGAATAAAATTTGTGACTAGAACTGTTTCTCTAACTCATGGAAGCAGTTCCAGTGAGTCTGCTTTCCTAGGACAGACAGATTTTGGTCCTAAGGGCTAATGTGGTAACCATCTCTGTAATAGAAGCTCAGATCCCTTGCATATATTGTAAATAATTTTAGAGTGTTATCTAAAGTTTTTCTGATGTTATCTCTGCATTCATGGTCATATTCACCATACTCACAATTTAAAATACTATAGTCCCTATTGCAAGGAGTTTGGAGGAGCAAAGCATGAGGCAAAACAATGATGGATGGAAGGATAGCTAGAAAAAAGAGAATCTTCACAAAGATTTTAAACTATTTTTCTTTCGAAGAACTCAAAATCTTTGCTCTGTCATTGCATTGTTGCTTTTTTTTTAAAGAAATGTCTCAAATATTTTCATTTCTAAGATTCTTTTAAGTTTTCTATAATTTTAAGAAACTAATCTAGCGTACTTCAACAATGACAAAACCAGATGTCCTTCTACTATCAAAAAATATTATTGAGACTTAAAAAGTGTGTGTTGTTTAAAAAAAAATTTGAATAAAGGAAATATTTTCTGAAATGTAAAAGAATGAATGCTAAAATTAAAAAGTGAAAAAAATTATATTTAAAATGTCATTGTGTGGGATATTAATTTAATATTATCTATTTTCTGAGAGTAAGAGTAATATAGTCAAAGCCCTAATGAGAAAAGTACAGAAACTTCATTATGGCACCAGTTCCTCATATGCTTGCAGTTCACTTCCTTTTCATTGCATATTTGGTTTTGTTAATGAATGGTCTTATTTAGCAAGACACTTAAGCAACATGCAACTTAAACATGGCATGAATTAATTCCCTTTTAATAGCTAGTGTTCACAAATTTCCCTAGGCATATTTTTTCATGCAAAATGTACAACTTTCTATGCAATATCAAAATCTGAGCATATGCAGTGATTACTTTTATTCAGTTTCCAATTTTCAGTCGAGAAGTAGGCTCAAGATAAGTATAATAAACTTCTCCAAACATCAGACTTTTAATGTCTATGTTTGAAGAAGCAACAGAAGAGAAAGACACCAACACTGAGGGAAAAATTTCCATTTTGATTAAGTCAGTCATACCTGAGACACAAATATATAAAACATGGATCTGTTGTGTCTTTTCTCCACTATGTTTCCCTTAAGTATATGTCAATCCTTATTGCAATTCTGCTCTGCTTTGAAGGGCAGAAGGATTCTTTTGTTATTTGAAAAAACAGAAAGGAAAATTCTTTTATGTAGTACAGATCTAAGTTGCACCTTCTAAGTTTTAAACACTAAACAGCAAGACAGGAAAAGCAAGAGAGATCCACAGCACAGGCTGCTGGAAAGCACATGAGCTTTTGATTTTTTCTTTATTTAACACAGCATATGGGTGTTGATTACTGTAAATGAAATACTGTGCTCTCTGTTGCATTTTCAAACCAATATTTGGCCTAAGTTGACAGAGATCACAGTATGACTTCCTCTATATGCTAATAAAATGTATAATATAAAACCAAAGCATAAAAATAATAGCTTGTTAAAAAGCAGACTGATAGGTATCCTTTTATCAAGTAAAATTTTAAGACTAACAAATGCATTTAATATTTAATGTATTTATTTTATATGTGCATGAATTTTACATGCTTAAATACAGCAGACAGCTAAAATCATAGGTTTTTTCCTACTATAGCTCTCAGAAATGACAAAAATTAAAATGCTCAATTTATCTGTCTTGTGGGAGAGAGAAAACTGCAAGCCTTAGCAATGCAGTGTAAGCACAAAAGCTTGGTTTGTTGCCAAGGTCATGGGTTGTGCTATGTGAAAACTAGACTAAGAAGAAACACAGCATTTTAAAAGGCTAGCTGTGGCAAGCAAAGAGAAAGAAAACATTTTTTTTGTAATATTGTGGGACTAAATTCAAGGCAGCATACATTGCATTCAGATATAATTTTGTGATATTTTAAATGAGCACATTAAGTGAAGTCTTCTTGGATTCCCTAACCCTCTTTACTTAGCTTGTTTTTTATTGCTTTCTGATCTCCATAAAAGATACACGCATTATAATTTTTTTTTCACGTTCTGACTTTTTTTTTTTTTTTGCATAAACTTTGTGTTACAGCCAAATAATGAAGCTCTTAGTCAGAACTGTGTCTGGACAGTGACTAACTGAATAGTCTCTATGGAAATTTTTCTTGACAGGGATTCTCTAAGATTTCTGTGTTCAGTGCAAAGTTTTGTCCCAAAAGTAAAAGTAACAGCTTTCACAAGGCAGAACCTGCTTAACCTGACTCCCCTCAGTGTTTTGGGGTTTTTTGCTTTCCATAGCATTTTTGCTTTCAGTTTGACATACTGGAGACACCTTGTTAGTAATTTTTTTGTTGGCAATTGTTTTCTAGACCACAATGGAGAGCAGTGCCTCTGTTGCAGCTAACACTCAGCTCTCCTAGCTTAGCTCCTGAAGAACCTTGTACAAATGGCCTTACACTTACACTCCATCACTGACCCTAAAAGAGAAATGTAGGCAATATTTATGATCACTACGTTTCCTAAGTACAAGTCAATATGCAATTTGCATTCAGCAGCCAACATTGAAGATAAGCAAAAAATAATGATGGTATTTTTAAACTAGACTTTTAAACCCCCAAAAGAGTCAGAATAACTAATTGCTTAATTAGAAAGATGCTGCTGAAAAACTGAGCTGTCTGGGAAAAAGTCGAGATAATGAGAATTTCCATTAGTTCCAGCACTAAGAAATGATTGCCACTCCAAATGACAGAGCTTGGGAAACAAATCTAGAAAGAATCAGAACCTGTTTAAACATTTCATTTGTACTAATGTATTTCTTTAATTTAAGGAACTGAAATAATTTTAAGAAAAAAATATCTTCTAGCACAGAAGCAGCAAAAGTCACCTGCAGCATTTGTGTGCAATAGCAGTTCTGTACCCTGCATGAAGAGTTAACCTGAGTCCTTCCTCAGAGTGTTTCACTTAATCAATTGCATATCTTGCACATAGCTAACTTATAACGTACACAGAGGTTATAAAAATGAAGTAGATAGAAAAGCTTTCAGCCAAATGCAGAGATTTGTAGATCTGACTACAGGTCTTTCAAAACTGCAGATGTTTCAATACAGTTCAGATCTCTGGTATGTTTAATATTACTGTACAATTAGCTTTTCAATGCATTCCCAGAATTTCTTTTGTGTTCCCTGATGAATAAAAACTTAATCGCAGAATTATGTAGGATAGAATCATATTTTGGCTTGTAGAGTTTGTTGCAGCACAAAGAATCACTCCAAATCCCAAAGTCCCAGCACTACTAACGAACTGATAACCTGAACAGGGCCTCATTATGAGACCACAAGCTACAGTAGAAGCTAGAATTCATAAAGTCACCCTGCAATAATTCAACCACTGTGACAGTTTGGGTGTTATTTCACAGTGCAGTTGGTATTCATTCAAGAGGACAGATAAATTTAAGAAATGCAACTTCAGAATAACCAACTTTCATTAAGTCCATAAAGAATTCTGAGTCTGGCAACAAAGTCAACTGAATTTAAAAGGTTGATATTCTGTAACCACACTGAGCTTGAGAGCTGAAATGGCTGAAATTATAACTTTTTAAATAACCAAGGCATGAACACAGCTGATCAACAATGTGACAGCACAGGCCATACATTACTTTATCATACATGAGGACAAGAATGCCATCATCCCTAAACTGGAATAACATGCCAGGGAGATGAGCCACTACATTGCCTCTGTCCATTTTTAGACATATTTTTACTCACATCTCTTAATTCTAAAAGTCATGATCTATTAATTTTCTTTCTTCAGTTTTCCCACGTAGTCATTTCCTATAATTTAGGAATTCTGATTCGGTAGATTTGAAATCCCCGTTCGCCATCCCCCTGTGCCACTGAGGGTAGGAGACAGAGAATTCAAGGGTGAAGCCCAGGAAGTAGGAAGGGGTGGGGTGAAGGTGTTTTAAGATTGCTTTTATTTTTCATTACCCTACTCTGATTTGATTGGCAGTAAATTCATTTTTTCCTCCAGGTCAAGTCAGGTTTGCCTGTGACAGTAACAAGCAACTGATCTCTCCCTGTCCTTACCTTGGCTCAGAAACTCTTCACTGTATTTTCTTTGCCCTGTCCACTGAAGTGGTAGAGCAGCTTTGGTGGGTACCTGGAGACCAGGCTCAACCCACCAACGAGTTTAAATGTGTTAAAATCTATAAATTTGCTAATGCTGAAACATTTGAAAGTGTCTGGAAAAGCAATAAAATAAGAGTGGATTTCTACAATACCCTTACTAGTGCTTAAAAAATTTTGTTAGGATAATCCAGCCATTCTTTTGCAGTAGAAGCAGTAGACACGTGCAAGCACACTCACAGCCCATGATTTGGCTGACAGTCTGGAAAACCCAGCCTGCTAAATACTAAACCAGAAAATGTAGGCAGCTGTCCCACCTGCCCAGCTAAACTACCAACAGGATAATGTGGTATTGTTCCAGCACTTTTCAGTGCTCCTACAGGCAATATTATCAGATTTTTATAGGCCAACAGGGACCAAAAAAGCTTTTGTTACACTTTAAAGCAGAATCCCTATAAGTTCTTATGGTGTCAGAAACTTTAGGATCAACAGCAATTCCAACTTCTTTGTTTTACTGTATCGATCTTTTAATTTTGAAATGTTTGTAAGCTTTTCCTTCCCTGTTCTCTCTCACCCTTGACTCTATCACTGTACCACAAAAACAGGGATCAAGTGCAGCTTTGGAACTCCTTCAATTTGTCTTTGTTTCTACTGATACATGATGTACCATAAGAGGAAAACAAGTCTTTACAGAAAGTATATTCTTCCTCTATATACATTACCAAATTTTCTTGATAATTGTAAAAAATGGTCAATTTTATTTATTTCTTAGTATTAGACAGTAATAAAATATTACTTCAATATTCACAAAATTAAATAATATCTAAGTTTCAAGAGAATTGTGACAATGGAATTGTCTTTGGTTATCATATTCTTCTTCATAGCCACATTCCAGCACTATAATATGCCATGGCTATTGAGTGACACTGCATCAACAGTTAATTTTTTTTTGCTTGAACTGGAGTAACAATGAATGGATTTTTGAAAACATGATACAGGAGCAAAAACTATGTGTATAAAATATTTTTCAAAATATTAAGATATCCATACTTCGATTCTAAGAATTTCTTTTTAAAACTGAAAGATGTGTTAACAGGACTTATTAAAAGTAAAATTAACTTTAGTACAATCCTTTTGCAATGGTTACAGAAATCTGATGTGATCTAGTACCTTGTGCAGTCTGCCATATTCAGTACATGGATATGCTTCAATGGTGAAATCATCTTAACACCAGCCTCTGTAATCTACTGGCAATCAGCCACATGAATGTGCCTGATGTACAGACAGCGTTTACTCATCAGCTTGAAACCTAAATCAGTATTTTGGTCATTCCTTGTTGAAATATTTAAGATGCAAGTTACACATCTGACATACATTAAGAGCATGATCCAAATACCCGCTGCAATCAGCAGAAAGATTTATTTCAAATTATCTGAATGAATTGTAAAAAATACATAATCCAAATAATTTTTTGATCATTGTACTAACCTTCAGTGCTGACCTTCAAAAGTTTACATTCTGCAAGGGCTTTAAAAGTTGTGTGAGAAAGTTTTGGAGAGTCAAGAAAGATAACAGACATTACCTGTTGACATTTTTCAACCACAGCCTTTGAAGAAAAAAAGGTGAAATAAACCATTCATATGCTTATGTTGTCATGTAGAAAAAAAGATCAACAAATATTCTCAATGTAATACTAAAAAGTTACAATTTCAAACAAATAGTTATAATCCATGTAACAGTAGCTTCCAGAGAGTGAGGGGCACATAAACCATAGAAATTCTCCATATGGTTATTATGTTTGGGATCACAAGGAAAAGAAGAAAGTACCTGGAGACATGAAGTATGGCAGACACCAGAGACAGTGATATAGTGAACAATCACTTTTGCAGAAGCCTGGAAGTTCTTTTTTGATGGGTAAAATCAGTAGCAGAATGCTGTTCCCATATATTATAGTTGCTTTACCACTGAAAGAAATGAAATGCCCTCATTTATAAACTGGAAGCCCATAATTCAAACATACCAATGAAGAAAGAAGACAAGACAATTGAAGTTTTCTGACAGTGAATGCAAGTGAGCGAGATTTATAAGATTAATTAGACAATAGTTGTAAAAAATTCTTTTACTTAGAACTTCGCCTCTTGAATTGATTCTTACTTCTTGAAGAGAGGATAGCTCAGTTCCAACATCATAAAGTACCGTTTATTTCCAGTTTCTAACTTAAATACATCTGTCTGTAAGAGTTAACATTTTGCTGATTAGCAAATCTTGACTCCAGTTTCAGCCATTGGCAGTATTTTTGAAGACACCAGCTCAAATTTATACAAGAAATTAAATGTTTATGTCTTAGCGAGCCTAACAAAAACAATACAGGAAAAGCTTGAGATCTTCTCAATGCTTTAACATCTTACCTAGGCACATAGATGCTCACTAAAACAAGAAATGCATTAATCTCACTATAAGGAAAACAGATACATATTACTCTGAAATTTGAACATAATCTAAGGGATCTGTTTAAAAAATGTGTCCTCTAACCAAGCAGGAGTCAGGTTCAACATTTTCTACAGCTGACACCATTTATGGAAGCTGCAGTGAATGTTACTGTCTCATTAGTCTACCTTTGTTTTCCCAACCTTATGATTTATGCACCCGTTAGATGTTGAAATTCAGTTTGAAGCAAGTTGTGAATGCAATAAAACATCTTCGCTATTTCTTTCCAGATCCACAGTAAAATGTGTGTTAGATTCAGAGGGAGTACAAGGAAAGGTCCTTGCAGACACAACAATATTGAGCTCTTCTACAAAATCCTTCATGCAGAACAACAACAGCAGCTCTGCCTACTCTAACAGTGCAATTCAATGAAATTACAAAGGGACTGATGGATCTGTCAATTCACTTAATTCCTTTTATCACTCCAGGGAGATAATTTAAGCAGTTCTTTAACTGCTTAAATTCAATAGATGTCCATTCACTCTTGGGCATACAAAGTGTTTCTTTTCACATATAAATGCTGTGCAAATGACAATTTCTTTTGAACTGCCACAGAAAGCACAGATGCAAACAATTCCTCCCCATGAAGTAGGCCCCCTGATATTTGCGTGTAGACATCTCACTGTTTTCCAGGGTTTTGAAGCTGTGTAGTATAACAGTTGATGGTTGAACTTGGGATCTTAGAGATGTTTTCCAACCTTAATGATTATATGATTCTACAGTAACCCTGTGCAGCTCAGACTACAGCCTCAGGAATTCATTTGCAAAACATCCACAGAAAAAAAGTAGTCTGGCATGTCCTCCTGGGTACCAAATAAGGCCTGTGGAGAGAAGAATCCAAAGAAGGAATCTTGTAATATAAATAGACTGGGAGAGATTTCTGCTGCGCCCCACCTCTCCAGCTGCTGCAGGAGCCTGAGGTTCTTGGCTACCTTGCCTGGGGGGAGCAGCAGTGTAAGGCACAGGCTTTGCTTAGGGTAAAAACGTTGGCTGACAGTGGACACCACTAGCAGACAGGAGATGGTCACAGAAAAGCAAGCCAGAAACTGAGCAGCAGCTGATCACCCATCACACCTCAGTATGGTTACAATTCACTAGGACATGCTCCCAGTTCTTGCACTTCTAGTCTCCAGCATTTGCAGCACATGACTGGTCCCCACTACTACTCATCAGTGGAAACTAGAATCAAGCCTGCTTTACTTCTATCTTACATTGAGTGAGGAGATTCACACCTTGGATTTCTGGCTCTTCTTTCTGAAAATTTAATGTTTGGGTTCCTTTTGCATGTGAGATGGTTTTTAATGGAGTAAATGACTTCAAGCCATAATCAAGGCAGACTGTCTTTTCTGGCATAATGCCTCATCTTTTAACTTATGCCCAGGTTGGCTTGCTCTTTATTTTCAGGCTGAAGTGGCTTTTAAAACAGATTCTTTGTCAATTGTTTTAAACGCTTTGATGTTAAATGTCTTTTCTTAGAGGACTGTGCACTCTTTGCACATTTTCCCTTGTGCAGAGGGATGCCAGCCCAGAGGGAAACTGGCTTCATGTCTGTCAAATACATTCTTAGACTTAAAGTGTTTGTGCAGATCTCACAGACGGACAGACAGACAGACAGACAGACAGACAATATGGTGTGGCTCATAACACAACTTTTAGCACTGTGGATGCAAATAATCTGTTGTGTTTTGAGTTCAGCACAAGTGTAGCATATTTCTTTTTCTACAGTGGGTCTGTAACAGCCTGCAAAATGACAGAATGAAAACCCTACCATCAAAATAAATGAAGGAAACATTTTAGTGGTAATGCATGGTGATATAAATCCCATCAAGTCCCATGCCTCTGACAGCTGGCTGTGTTCAAGGTGGGGTCTGACATGGTGCAGCTATGTTATCCTGGATCAGTCTTCTCCAGGAGCAGCTATACTCTAAGAAGCAGATGAAGAAGGAAAGAGAGGCTGCAGGAGAGCTGGCAGAGAGGGACTATAAACGAAGTACCATCTCATAACCACAAGCTGTTCAGAGCATGTACAGCCTGTTGGTGCACTCCAGGCTCTCATACCACATCCAGCTGAGATGTGTCTGTTGGACAAAAGGACACTGTGGCTTTGGGAATGTGGTTATGTGGGCAACACATCAGTGAGGATCTGCAGATAGTACTGCAGGCCTCACCATCAGCATGGAGAAATTGGATTTGCCCACCCCAAATGACTGCAAAACAACCAGGTGCAGTGTAGAGCTACTATGGCAAAGGCAATCAGTCCTCTTTTCTACTGATCATCAGAAGATAAATGCCAGTAGGGAAAGGTATGTGCTAATTCTCAGGACAGAATATGAAACTCAGTTCTAGTTTTGTATTCACTATTGGTATATGCAATGTGACATAATCCCGTCTCTTTTCCTCACCCCAAAATATTCAGTATGTAAGAAAGGGAGTAGCTTAATGGTGAATATCTGAGGGATGCATTGGGAAATCTATACTTTCTGCTGGCCAAGAAAAACCAATTGCTTTAACATAACATGACCAAGTCATTAAAGAAAGAGTTTATCTAACTCTGCAACAGGCCTCTTTCTTGTTGCCTCTCAAGAAGCACAACAACAGAAAAATATGAATCCTGGGATCTCTGTATAGTAAAGAGCAACAAAGATCCCAAGACTGGTCTGAATGACCTCTGGAGACCTCTCCCACTCTCTAATTGCTATATAGATATATTAAGTTAATTTTCCAGGCACTACCTTATCTTTGATGCCTAAAATAAATTTTAATTCTCATTCTCAAAAGGAGATATTGTAGGTAGCAGGTAATCAGATCAACCCCAGCAATCCTGACAGAAATAGTATGCCTTTTTCTGGAATTCAGTAAGGATTGCATAATGTTAAATGCAGTCAAAAAGTCTTTTAATCTCTATCTGGAAAACCACTGTTTGCTTAACATAGACATTTGATACTACAAATAGCAGAAATCTAGTGCTTTCCTCCATGCAAGCCAAACCAAATTATAGGGAAGCAGTTAATAATAATACCACTGCACAGATTGTTTCTAATTTCTTTTTCACTTGAACTGGTTTTTTACTTGAAACTGGATAATGGATCTCAGGCATCAGGTTGAGAAAGTTCCAGTATAAAATATGCATTCAGATAAGATTAAATAAAATGAACTAACATTTAGATTTTACTGCAGTCATATGTATGTCTCTTTCCTTTATTTCTAGAACAATAAAATCTTAAATTTATTTTCTATATCCCCTGTGGATTCTCTGTGAAACTTCAGGAACTCGTGAAAAGAAGGTATAGAAATATGCAATTTCTTGCACATTTTAGTAAAACAATTGCTTTCTCAGCTCACTTGGAATTGCAATGTTTAATAGATTGCCTCAAGAGTGAACAGCTTGGTCTGAGAATCAATCTTAGGATACATATGGAGTTTAATACTGTATTCTTTGCCCCAGATGAGTAAAATCCCACTTAAACCTCATCTATAAAATCAATTGTGAAGGAGAATATTGAGGTTATTGAATCTTAGATCCTACAAAATTCCACAAAACAGACTTTTCCTGCATCAGGATGCAGTAAACTTTTCCTGACTCAGTAAAATCATTCTTTAAATGTCTTATTGTTCTTGCATATACAGATCAGAAGTAAACGCAAAAATAAAATATAAATGTAAATAAAATTAGGTAGACAAGGAGAATACAATTTCTTTTCTTTAGGAGATTTCAGTCTAATATGTAAATGACTGTCTTGGGTTTTCTTCTTGATTGCATAATAGTATACTATGATCTGAAATGAAAGTACAACAAAACAAACATGGAACAAACCACAGCTAAAGATCTGTCCCCATGGATTTAGAAAATAATTGCAGTGAAATGATGAAATGATTATAAGAATATCAAAGTTCATTTAATTTAATCTTTCTGTGGTTTCTTATTCTGAAGAATAGGGGTACACAGGTTTTTTGTTCAGGTTTGGCTTTTTTGCTACACCTACACTACTTTACAATTCTGTCTTTCTCCCAGCACTGATTGGATTTGTGGAATCCAGCCTGCAAGGCAGAGAACTGTCTGCAGCACAGAAGGGATTTTGAAGAAACACTCTTGTGAGTCCAGTATTGGCAATACACTGAGGATAGACATTTGAAAATCAGCATTCAGAATTGAGGAAGTACTCCCTGGGGCACATGGGACTATCTTTTTTGTATCCTGTGTTTGTCAAGAATCATAAAATGAATTGTGACATCCTTTCAGATGTTTGGCACATTACATTGATGGCTCAACTCCACATATTATTTTTCTCTTCGCTTTCCACTGTCCAAAAAAAAAGCACTTATATTAACATATTCCTGAATTAGCATTTTTCTAAAATAAATAACAGAACATTTGTAATTTATAGTATTCTTCAGTTACACAAGTTTGTATTTATGAAATGTAAACAATCATCCTCTTCTTCAATAAATAAAGAACGTAGCTCAGATGTGCTCCCCAAGTGATGGCCCCTTTTTTGTTACTTGATACATCTGAAGAAGACAGAATTTGCCAAAATGAGAATTCTCCCAATGAAGCTGGAGCAGAGGGAACCCAGATGTTGAAAACTGGTGAAGTCTACATGTAGACTTCTCCAATATCCCTGCAGCAGATGTCAAGAAACGAAAGGGACAAATTAATTTTTCCCAGTGGCTTGTGCTCTCCTATCCAGCTGTGGTAACCTACAGCAAGTGACAGACTGCTGTAACACATTTTGGGCATGACATGCAATTGCTTTATACCCTCAGGTCTTTCCAGATTTGTGTCTAATAGTAGAAAATTTTCCACCAACACTGTTCAACTTCAGAAGGAGAACAAACATCTTATGCTTTCTAGGTGGGGCTCTGAGAATGTCAGTGGTATTGTAGGGTACCTTTTGAACAAGACACAAGAGAATCTCTATATTTTTAGGAAAATATGTTGAAGCTCATTAACAAAAATATTTACTGCCTGTGCCATACAGATAAAATCTTAATTACCATGACTTTATGTAAAAACCCCCATGCCTACAATTTATCCAGTATTATTGCCATGTAGGAACATAATAGTCAAAGAAAAGATAGCTTTGTTTTTTAGCAATGGACTACAAAATGTCTGCTTAATTCTCACTTTTCTGCCCCTGCTTTAATGAGCTGGTTAAATGCCTTAGTCCTGAAGTTGCCACTCACACAATCTTTAACATAATCACACATTTTACAGATGAGCTTTCTAATTAACCATTCAAATCCTACAGAAGTAGTGGCAATAGAACAATTCATATAAAAAGATGTTTAAATGAAAGAAAAATTTAAAAAAACATTAAAAATACACATTCTATAGAATATTTTAAGCATCATTTCAATGTCAATAGTGTAACTCCTCTACAGTTTTCCAACTAATTCTGAAATGTTAGCCTTACAAAATTTCCCTTTGGTTTCATTCATCCATTAAGGGGGAAAAAAAATACTTTTAAAATGCTTTATCCAACTGTGATGCAATGTGATGGTTTTTTTTGGTTTTAACTGTTCACTTAAGTACTTGGTCATAACCATTAAGCACTGTTCCAGAATCCAAAAATGGAGAAAGCTGTGGAATTTCTTTCAGGGCTCTCAAATACACTGGCAAGCAAACACACTGTCCTCTGGTAGGGAGGATTGTGGTTTTCCCTGTTTGATGATGATCACTTCTCCCTGAGCACTGTTAGATCATGCTTTCTAGAGGCACATCCCTGCAGCTCATGATGACACTTCTAACAAGCAGGAATGATGCTTTCGGAAAACAAAGCAAATTACTGGCATTTTGAAAAAGTTGCTCAGAGGTAGGTAGTTCTTAACTTTCCTCTAACCTCAGCCCTCATTTCAAATTTCACCCTGTCACTGCACAACAATCTCAGCATGGTTCTCATGAACAAGAAACAGACGCTTGGTAAAGAGTAATCAGAACAAGACTGTTGCCCCATCTGCCGCATCCTTTGTTCTGAAAAGGTTTTGTTAGATGGAATGTTAAACTGTCATATCCCTCAGACTCCATCTCTACCATTTCAATGCATTTTGTTATATGGAGAATCTTCTCAATTTATAAAGAAATGAATGTGTGACTCTTTACTTAAATATTAGGAGACTTTCATTGTCTTACAATTTGGTATTTCATATTGCTTTTGGAATATGTTTCAAGATACAGTATATATTTGAATGTTTCTAAAATAGTACTGCATTCTAAAACCTTTGTTTTCTTTACAAGTTTAGTAGGATACTAAAGTAATCCAAAACAGAACTAGTTTTGGATTGCAGTTATAAATATGACTTCAATTTATATATTAAACCAATGTAAAACTGCAACAAAAGTTTACTTTTTAATTAACTTCCTTCTCAGGAAATCAAATGTAAATTTGTATTTTTTTTCAGCACGGGGTGGCTTTTATTTTTTTTGATATCTTAGTAAAAACTGCATTTTTAAAGCTCAGATGTAAACTCCCAACTAATCATGACATAAAATTAGCCTATTTATGGCTACAAAAAGCAAGCCTTGTTCTCATTATGCAGTAAGTACTAGCTGTTTATAGATCTGACAGTTTGCTGGAAGTGATCCAAACCTATAGTGCTATTATTCCTCAGTAAAACTTAAACAGCTGTAGTCATGTAATTCAAAACCCTGGAAGGCTGCTGCAGTGCTTGCTCAACCTCAGTATACCATGAATGCAGGATGCTGCCAGTCATATAAAGGATCCTCTGCTTCACATTATGAAAGAAAGACGTGAACTACAAACCTGAATGCAACCTGGAATTTCCAAACAGATGATCTTGTGACAGCCTTTTCAAGAGTCCAGGTACGGTAAACCTTTGTCTGTGAATTTTCTGCAGTGAGCCAAACTCATTTACTGTAAACTAGGGAAGCTTTGCAAAAAAACCCACAAAAAACAACATAGTAATTTGTTACAAGGGCATGATACAGAATCAAAAGTACATAAAATGTCATAGTTAAAAGTTTTCTGAAAATTACTGTAAAGAAAAGATGTTCAATATGAAATAAAATATCTACTTGCTGAAGTTTGAAAGCCTATTTCTTCTGCTGCAGTTTTTTCTCTCCTCTTGTATTGCAAATTAGTGGGGAATAGCACTATCATGCAAGATATTTCACCATGTGAAACCAGTAACATTGTAAAATTATCTTAAGCAACTGCAAAAGCATACTTTTTAAACTAATTGGAACTTCTCTGTGCATACTTTGCAAGTATGACTTTTCAGTGTAAGTTTGTTGGACTGCTTTTGCAATTGATTTTACAAGCAGTGCTTGCTGGAAATGAAAACCAGATCTCTATCAAAAGATATTAAAAGCAGAAATGTGTAGTTTAAACTTCTCAAGTAGTATAATTATTTAGAAGAGTACTATTAAAAGAATCTGAAAAATTGAAAGAGTTACAAAAGTGAGTAATGTAATTTCAGGTTTGATCAGTTCTTTTGGAAAACATTCCTTCATACTAAACACTAGTTAAGAGAAAGCAAATTGTCTAAGTGCAAAATGTTAATCAACAGCACCCTGTAAAATCAAGAATCTATACTCTGAAATTGCTTAAATTTCCAGCTGCAGGTTTATATCATACTGAAAACTATTCATATGACTGAATGACATTTCTAACTGGAAAAAATAACAATTACCACAAGCACCACAAATGAAAGCATACAGAAAATCAAAACCTAGAATTAGACCTTCTGCTCTGGTAGACATTTAGTCGTAGTCATGCAGTTCTGCAAGTCAGCAAAATTAGGCATTTTGAAGAAGATGGGAACTCCCACTGGGGAGCTGACTGCTTAAGGAGTGGCATACTGACTTTTGGAATTGACTTTATGCTTTCAGTGTAGAGTGGGAATTGACTTTTTGCTTTCAATACATACTGAACACAAATTCAAATAGGAAGTGTAAAAAGAATGCCCTTGTAAAAAAAAAAATACAAAATTATTAAGAAAGTAAATATAAGATCATATTTCATAGAAAAAACCCAACAATGTGCATTAGAACCAGATATTAGAATATAAAGGCATGTGTTGTTTGTGGTGCCTTTTTTTTTGAAATGGAAATTTTTAATTCATATTAAGTACAAAAGTAAAAGTATCCTTCTTCATAGAAGGCTGAGCTATTTTGCATTTTAGTGTGATATCCCACAGAAATGAGTGGGGAAAAATAAAACTTGGAGAAGTCTACTTCCAAATATATCTGATAAAATAGACAATAAATTGAGAGACTGGGATAAACACTCTGGTAGCTCTGAGTCTTTTTAATGTTGCTGCAAGGCTGCACAATTTAAGATACAGGTAAGCCTTTCTTACTGCATTTTGAAGACTGTGATCAAAGCCTCACATAAACTTTGAAGAGATACTGATTTCCTTTATTAGTCATACGACCAATTTTTAATGATCTGAGAATTTTAACATGTGTCTTCTTTTTCATCAGAAAAAGTGACATCTTCCTTAAACTCAAGGAGCACAAAGACCACCAAAAATCCTTGTTTTGTGTTACAGCTAAATTCTGCAGGAATTCTGTCATACCAGTTTTTTAATTAATTTTGACAGTTGCAGTCTCAGAATCATTGCTTTAAAGCAATCTGACAAACTCACCTTCTGACATTTATTCCTGATGGACAGTGTTCATGTTTACCATATCTGACAGAAGTTTTCAGAGGGAAATTTTAACTGGCTATCTCTGTTGTGCAGTATGGAGGCTAAAATATTTGTATGGAATAGTATGAGAGAATAAAAAATGACCCCTACACTTCACTAGCTCCTTGTTGCAATAAAGAATGCCTGATATACCACAGCAAACTCCACATGCAGCATTATGAAATGCAATACTGCCACCTCTAAGCATTTTGTGTTAGTTACCATAGTACACAGAACCTGTGCTGAGCTAATGCTTTTAGGATTGCCATGTGAAAAGTTCACAAAATCTGTCTGCTGTCAAATTCTTCACAAGACAGCAGCTTTTTGTACATCCCCATAATCTCAGAAACAATGAGTTTTGCTTTTTGTCTAAAAATTATCAATACAAAGAGTATAATCTTATGGTTTTAAATCAGAAATAAAATGTGTGACTGGAAAACTTTATATTACAAGGTACAAGATAACTGCAAAAGGTCTTTTGTCAGTGGAGATTTTTTCTTTGCTATTTACACTTCAAAAAAATTATGTTCCAAACTTCAGCATAAATATATGGAAATCTAAAAAGACAAAATATCTGCCAACATGGCAAAACCACAAATTATAATAAAAGTAATACTGATGAGATGAGTGGTAGAATTGGAGACACTAATGCAAAACTTTGCCAAAACAAATGTTAGTTATGTGAGTATATGGCATTTCAGACTAAGAAAAACAAAAGTTTAAATATATTATGCAAATGCCAAAGAAAAACATGTTTCTGAACTTCATGGGGATGTTGTTGAAAGACATACATTTTTTTCCTCACAGCAAAGAGAAACTGTGTACACCTATTTTTCAAATCCATATACATCTTTGTGATGGCTGCTCTTGTGAACTGCTCACCTCATTTCTTCCATGGCAGCTTTTAATCCAGCAATTCTACCTGCCAGGCAGACCTTGAGTCTCTAGGATACCTCTGAAACACGAAAGGCAGACTTTTCACAGACTGTTAATTCCTCTGCCTTCAGCTCACTATGCTTCCAAATATCAGTCAGGAATTACTCTTTCTTTTGCAGTTGTCACACAAGGCCTTGGCTCACACAGTGCACCTACCCACAATCCTCTCTTGAGGATCAACTTTTAACAACATATCGAACTTCCAAACTTCTTACATCATCATGAGGAACTGGACATGCACATGAAATTTTTGGATAGCATGTTTTTTCAAAAGTTCTGTGAAACTGTGCAATACATAAGAGAATCTAGCATATTCATATGTTTAGATGCGCTAAAAAGATAAAAGAACTGCTATATAAATGAAATCTGTGGGGCATTTATTTCATTTTCTATAGCAGACAGAATCCTACAAATAACTCAAAAAAGAGTATTTCTATTACACATGCCTCTAAATTTTCTGCAAAATTAAAACAAACACAGTTTCATATTTATTTTTAATTTACCTTGTCAATAGTCTTAGAGTTCAATTAGTACTATCTCTATACAACAGATTTAAATAGACTTAAACTGGCTGAATAATAAAAAAATATCCAGAAGTATATTATACATTTGTATGTATATGTATAAGGGAAAAATCTGAGTATCTTTAAATCATCATAATAATTTTTGTACATCTCAGCCATTTTCTTTGGAAACCTCAAAATAGAATACTGAGAGATGTGATGCTACTGTTCCTAACTTGAAGTATGGTCATTTTATCATTTTAAAGTATATCTACACTCTACAGTCCTACAGAGCACAAGAGACTTCTCACTTGACTGAAGGTTAGCACATGTTAACAGATTTTGCTAAACCAAGATTACTGTTAGCCAGTCCTGGTATCTAAAACCATTGGTGAATTTTCTCCATGAACTCTGGTATATTTCTCTAACCAGTAATATAATGTAATAGAATATAATTTACACAATGCTTCCTGTTTAGTTCTACCTTCTAAGTGGAACATTAAACTTGAGTAATTATAAGGCTTCCATATTTTATTGGCCTGCAGAACGGGTACTACTCATATTGTTCCATTCTTATATAATGGGAACAAATCTCCTAGTATGATAAATATTTCACAATAAATGTCAATTTAATGCAAAGGAAAAAATGAGTACTTGTACATGAAAATGTAATAGTTGAGCCTGTGTCTTTTTCCATGTTGTGATCACCTTTTCCCTATTTCAGTTATTAGGCAAAAGGACCATCCAGATAACTGGAAATTCAATACCAGCCAATCCTAAAGAGGAAAGTTTGTGCTTTTGAAATCTATCCCTGCAACACAGGATTCGAGAGAGGAGATATATCAGTAAAAACAGGTATGTAGATGGAAGATAACCACAACCTGGAAAGGAGTGAAGGCACAGGGGGTGGTGAGAAAGCTGGGGGGAAGAGTGATGAGGAAAATCTCTGAAACCTTCCATGCAAAAGCAGCACAAAGGGGTCTATTTTAAGTGTCTTAACACAAACACTTGTAGCTTGGGAATCAACCAGGTACAGAGCTGTGATTTCACTGGGACTCCAGAGATGCACAGAGATAGCACATGCAATTGAAGGGGTGCAATGAAAGGTTCCAGAATATTTAGGAATGACAGCCCAGAAAGCTGAGGATGGGCTGCACTCTATGCAAAATCAAGTCTGAGCTTTGCATTGAAATGGGTGACAAGTCAACTATGAACTTATTTGTAATGATTAGAAGCCAGAACTATGAGCATTATATTGTGGTAGGGATCTGCTGCAGTCTGCTTGATCTGCTTGATCAAGATGAGATGGTGGATGAAGGAAGCTGCAGCTGAAGGAAGCTTTACTCTTGTCTATCCTAGTTACTCATGAGAGACTTTAGCCACTGCTATATGCTGCCAGAAAATATGGCTGGGCATGAACTATCCAGGAGACTTCTAGAGTATGTTGAAGACAATTTCTTGATCCAGATGGCTGACAAGTGGTCTAGGGAATGTGTTTTTCAACAGGTGAAGGAATGTGAGCTTGACTGAATGTCAGCTTGAATGGCTTTGGCTACTGCAGCCATGGAAATGAAAAAATGAGAAGTTCAAAATCCAGACAGAAGAAAATTGGACAAACTGTAGAAGAAAAAACACTGAAGTTGTTAGCAGATTTTGGCTAGTTTAGGGATCTGTTTAACAGGATCGCACAGTAGACAGGCCTGGAGGGCAAAGGGACCCAGGAGAACTGGTTAATCTTCAAGGACAAGCTCCTCCATTACTTTTTAGCCTTGGTTTTTACAGCTAAGGCCTGTCTGAAGGCTTCCCAGGTGTCTGGCTGGAGCCCGTGAGCAGAGTGAAGCAATACCCATCGTAGAAGAAGTTAATGTCAGGGAGCACCTGAGGAAATGGGATGAGACAGGGTGCATCCAAGAGGAAGAAAACTGTCTCTTGTCATTGAGAGGCCTCGTTCATTTTTGAAAGGTCATGACAGTCAGAGGAGATTCCTAATGACTGGAAGATAGGAAATGTCACTTCCATTTTCAGGAAATGGAAGAAGGTCCAAGAATCTACCAGCCAGTCAGCTCCACTTGAGCCCCTGAGAAGGTTATGTAGCAAATCCTCCATGAAGCCCTGTCCAAGCACATGAAGGATGAAAAAGTGACAGTGAACAGCCAGCATGAGTCTATCAAGGGCAAAGCATTCCTCACTAATTTGATTGTTTTCTATTATGAAATTACTAGGTCTATTGATAAGGGGAGAAAAGCAGCCCTTGCATCACTAACTTGACTATCCTAAACCATATTTGTTTGACATTCTTAAATTGTATTTTACCTATGGAAATTTTCAAAAGCTTATGTATAAATACTGGTGTTTCTGGGCTAGACCACTGGATATACACTTCACTAAAAAGTGACTACAAATGATAATTTCTTATTTATTTCTTTATTTTAGTTTATTTATTTTTGTTTTATTTATTTTTTTAATACCTACTTAACACTAGAAATAGCCTATAAATGCATTAATATATTAAGAAAAATAATTTCTGAACAAAATATTTATGTTACTCTTAGACTGTTTTATTATAAGAAAAATTTGCCTACAACATTGCCTTTTCTAAAAAATGATTAATTAAAGCAAAGTCAAACATTGTTTTTCCATCATGGAAGAGCAATGAAAAAACATTAAAGAAAATTAATGGAAGAAATGTTAAGCTGAGAAAAAAATGGACAAATACATAATGGTGATTGCATTCATAAACACCTTTCAAATGAAAGCTCTTAAAAATATCAAGGAATTTAGTGAGACATTTTTAGAGCCCAAGTGGCTACTGAAGGAAAAAAGGAATTTATAAACAATATAGGATTAAAATGCATTGTTGTTGACAACTCCAATCTTATAATAACAACAAAACCCTCCTCCCAGACTGGTGAAGTTTTAAAGCCTGTTTATCAAAGTTAATTGAGACTGAATATATAATTTTGCCCTGGTAGTGTAGAAAACCAATGAGAACTTCACAGATCACCTCTGAATCCTACTAAACTCCATTTTCAAAGTACTTAAGAACACAAGTCTCTACTTTTTATCAGGAAGATTTGTAACCCAAATAGCCACAGCAATTGAAAAAAAAAAATTTCTTCTTGGTATAAATTAGAGTTTGTAGAAAGAATTTGTAGTTCTTATATTTAAACCCTGGCATTCACAGATATTTAAGTCTTGCAAATTTTTTAATTCACCTAAAACACCCAAAATGAAACAATAAACTCCAAACCCAAAACAAAATTAAGAACAAAACAAAAAACCAAAGAAACGAAACAAGCAAAAAAAAAAAAAAAAAACCAAACCAACAAACCCAACCAAGACAAAAAACTATGAGATGAAAGCACAAAACCCCAAAAATTGGGGTAAACATTCCTAAGAAAATTACTTGAAAACAAGCCCACCCTTGAGCACAAACTAAAACTGGCAGTCTGATGGGCACTGGATGGCTTTCCCTGGTCTGGCTCTGTACATGTTCCAGTTGTTCAGCACTCAGGAAGTCGGAAAAGACCATCTTCAAACTCCTCATTTGAGCTCATCTTCCAAGATTAACTTAAATACAAAAACGTCCACCCTGATGCTGTTTTCCTGAACACATGAGTATCTCCTAACAAAGATCAGTGATAAATTGGTCCATGTAGTTTCCCATGATTAATCATAATGAAAAACAGTAGACCAGAGTCAGTATAAACTAACAAACAAACAAAAAGAGATAGGATATTAAACCTTAAAAGTATTTGTGAAGTTCCAAGTAGTGTGATGATCGAGTACTTGACTGCATATTATATACAATCCTCCATGGAAATGCCCATTCCATCTGTTCTAATGTTTTACTTTTCTTCCAACACAGGGATCCCACATACCCCAGCTTTGCTGCCTCAGATCTGTACAGCACTGATTCAGAATATCCAAAAAATTCAAGTGTTCCAGCTGTCACAGAAAAGAACTGGGGCCAGCTGAATGTCAGGATGCAAGTAGTTACTATTATATTACTACTTCTTCTTTGTAATGCATCTGACTGTAGGAGGACAAGGAATAGGAGTCTGAGAAACAATGAAAGGGAAAACATCTTAAGGAGAGCATCTAGCACTGTTAAGCGCAATGCCCGAGACCTAACATGTGATATTTACACTTATCTTCATGAGAAATACTTAGACTGTCAGGAAAGAAAATTGGTTTTTGTGGCACCTGATTGGCCAGAGGATATAAAACACATGCTGCTAGCAAGAAACAGAATTCGTAAATTAAAGAATAATATGTTTTCTAAGTATAAAGTGCTGAAAAGTCTGGATTTACAACAAAACGACATAACAAAAATTGAGAGCGAGGCTTTTTATGGTTTGGATAAACTTACCACACTCTTACTTCAGCACAACCAAATTAAGATTTTATCTGAGGAGATTTTTATTTATACACCCAGTCTAAACTACCTACGTCTCTATGACAATCCCTGGCATTGCACCTGTGAACTAGAAACTCTTGTTACAATGCTACAGGTTCCAACAAACAGGAATTTGGGAAATTATGCCAAATGCGTGCACCCAATAGAACTGAAAAATCAGAAGTTAAAGCAGGTAAAAGCAGATCAGCTATGTAGTGAAGAGGACAGGCAGGATCCCAGAAACATAAAACGGGAGAAGCCTGAACCTGCCAAACCAGAATTTGATTCCTCTTTATGCCACATGTATGTGTTTCCTGTGACAACACTGAACTGCAGAAGAAAAGGTTTGTATCTGTTGTTATAACTGAATGAATGATTTTAATATTCTATTTATTTAATCCTTTCTACATTTATTCGCACATTATTTACTGCAAATGAACTTGGTATAGTACTCGCTTTACCAAAATTGTTTATTGTTTTTCTCTTGTAACTATCAGCAATATGTAGGAATTCTTCCTGCATTTTCCCTCTGCTCTGCAGTCCAAATTCCACAGATATTCCTTAGTGCTGTAATGTATCTAATAGAAATCAACAGGAATAAAACTAAGCACATTACTTAAGCTACTGGTCTGATTGTACAACTATAAACACCCTAATCAGTCAAATTACAGCTCTGCTGAAACTGTTGAACTGATATAGACAAGCAGAGTGTCTTTTCTTCCTTCCATTGTACAAACACAAAGATAGCAATAACAGAAGTGAGTTGTGAAGCAGAACTGGAGCAGCCAGCTGTGTTTTCAATGCCCAGAGGAACTTGATTACAAAGGAAAGGCTTTGCATCCTCACATTTGCTGCACAAGATTTCTTCTGCTAAGGGAAGAAATTGTATGTTTTCTTTCATAAAGAAATACCTCCTCTGTGTTCTTCTTCCCAGCACCCAGCAAACAATTCAAAGTTGAAGGGACTTCAAGAAATGTTTTTCAGACACTTGGATCCATTCCATCTTTAAATCTTTCTCAGGCCCCTAAGAGTCACAGTTAAGCCCTAAGGGTAAACCAGATGGGGTACACATCAACACGAAAATGCACATTTATTTGTCCTTTATATTTCCCATATTTTATCCCATGACAAAACAAAGCAAACAAAAAAACAATTCAGAGGAGAATAATTCTTTAACATAACAATTCTGAAAGAAGAATCATTGCTTGAAGCAGCCAACATTGTGAGATCTTTTTCCCAGTTTTAGCAGAGCTCAGCCTGAATGTTTTATTCAGCTGAACTTCTATCTGCTTTAAGAGTAACTTAATTTTATGTAAAAACCTTACTCTTGCACCTTTACACAAGAGAAAAGTTCAGAATTTAGTATAAGGAGATAATGTTAAAATAGCAAGGATTAATGATTTCAGTATTTGATTACATTTATATACTATATATGTAGAATACATACAGATGTCTGTATATTGCCATAAAAATGGTCTGTATTCTTTACTTTTTTTTCACTCTGTAAATTCTTTTCTTGTCCCTCTGGCTCAATTTTCTCTTTCTCTTACCATGCAGCTACTACATCTTTTAATTAATGATTTATGCTGCTTTTATAATTATTTAATATTCACCTATCTTACCTTTCCTTGTAGATAAGATCATTATTAGATTATAGATTATGTTCTTAATTATCCTTCATAGATCTTAATTAGATCACTCTTACTATTCAGTAAACTGTTATTGAACAAAGCCCAGGCATAAATAATAATCCTAATATAAGGAAAGACTGACTTTACAGCTCTCCCCTCTTAGTGGTATCAAAGAGATGAGCTGAATATACCCAAAAAATTCTGGGGAAAAGAATTTTACTTTTTTCTCTAAGTTCACAGAAACATTCAATGTGATCTGATCTTCATGGGAGTTTCAAAGAGGTTTATGGTATTTGAAAGCATGGTTTATTGCCTTTAATATTAATAATGGAGGAATAAAATTATTTCAACCTCTACACAAGAGTATTAAGGGGTACAGGGACTCCCTTCTTCAGGTCAAGAACTAAGTATGTCAATCCAGAACTTCCTGCATGCCTAGCATGGACACACTGAGTATGTTTCAATACTTTTTTGGAAGTACTAGATCTACTGTGCATATGTTTGACAGCTGGATGCAGATATCCCATGGATATTTGGTATTTCTGAACATATGGCAATCTTTGATGAAAGCATTCTACTTACTGTCTTTGTATATGAATGTTGTACAGCAGATGCACAATTTCACTGGAATTTTCATCAGAAAATCCAGGAAAAACACAAACATTTCTCTAAATCTGTATGGACAAGAATTCAGAACAGAAAAAAATAGTGCATCAGTTGCCAAACCAGTAAGATGACATGAAAATCTGCAATCCATTATTCCTTTACAATGGAAGGAATGGAATGACAAGCACTCACTCTACCACTACTAAGTATGTCTAAAGAGGTATGACAACAGGTCAGGAGCTTTCAGTTTATGTCAGTAAGCTCACAAAAGAAACATCTTAAAAATACATTTATCCATGCGTATGTTCTCTTTTTTAAAAAATAATTTGCTTATATCTCATCAGACCAGTGATATGCCAGACCTTGTGGTACTCCAGAATGAAATACTCTATGCCCTTGATGCTGTTTTACCAAAAAGAAAAAAAGAAAAAAAAATTAAGGAAGCAAAAGCAAAAAGCAGTTTGTCTACATTTCTACAAAGAAGTTGCATTTTCAAGGACAGTTGAAAAACAAATCTGCTTTCTAGTACTGCCAAACTCTCCGAGCCTCTAAATTCAAGCATTATTTGCATTCATTTGGTGATAAATAGGCCCTGAAACTTTGATATCTGCAGAAGCAGGAAGCAATCTAACCACAGCAGGCTGGAGTAGTTATAATATTTATGTATTTATAATACCAAAGCTCTGCTCATAATCAGATATAAGGCAAGAAGACTCTGGTATGCTGCTTTAGTCACAAAAATACCTGATTCATTAGATATCTTCAGAACTTCAGAAGTGCAGTGGTCACACAGATCCAGCACAGATCCAGAAACTACTTGCTTTCATTCAAAGATGGTCAAACAAGAGACACTGCTCATTTTCTTGTTATAACAACGCAGGATTAGAACACTCATTGAGCAAATATAATAATCCTGGAGATTAGGTTTGTTAACATTACCCTGAGAGGGTTCAAACCACAGTCTGCACTTCTCAAGCACGGGCCTTTACTACTGGAGTAGGAACTGCTCCTTCTGGAGTTCTTTTGCATGGAACACTGAAAGGATAAGGACACCAACAACTGAGAGGTCCTCGACTACTTTGGAAATGCCAGTGATAGAAGTAGGAGAGAGAAGTGGACAAAATGCCTGGGTGGTTTTTATATAGTTACTCTGATTTCTTTTCTTTCAGCAATCAAGCCCTTCACACACATTTTTTACATGAGTATAGTATCTTTACTACTTACTCTATTCCTATGTGAATGCTCTAGTTCTACTAAAATAAAAACATAAACCACTGAGGTTTTACTATAAGCACTAATGAAAAGAACAATTTTCACATGAAGTGTAAATGTGCAAGTAAGGAAAGGATGAAATTCAGAAGTTGAAAAAACATGCTGGCACTACTAGAGAGGATAAAAGGGAAAGCAACCAAGAAAAATGTTAGACTGACAATACTCTGTCTGTCATGCAACTGTAATACCTAGGCAGTAAGAATAATCTAAAGCTGATAAAAGTTATGTCTTTTTCATTTTTTAAGATTTAAAGAAAGTTCCAGGTAACATACCTCCAGATATTGCTAAACTTGATTTGTCCAACAACAAAATTAGACAATTAAGAGCCAAGGAGTTTGAAGATGTCAGTGAACTGAAGATATTAAATCTAAACAGTAATGGAATAGCATACATTGATCCTGGTAAGAATAATTTTACATACTCGTTAAAAATTCTTTCTCCTTTGTTAAATACTGTCTCTATCAGATATCAACTGGGGGGGGGGAGCGGGAGGGAGGAAGGATTTAAAATTCTAGAAGTTGGTGCAAATTTTACCTTTTGTACCTTTCAATTCATAGAGTAAAGGTTTGCACTGAAATATATTCATCATGAAAATCAGTAGAGAAAGACACATTTCAGCTGCCTTTTCATAATACTAAACTAACCAAGTGCACAAGATAATTCTGGAACCTGAAGGCTAACAGTTTTGCAAAATGCTAAGTAGTTCAATGATTTATTTGAAAATATCTTTGCCACATCTAAGAAAACATTACATATAAGAAGGCTACTTTTCAATCATATAAAGTAACCTAAAAGACAAACCTAAAGGATTTAAACACTTTTTGGCTAAAAATTGCTACATGGAATTGCTTTTAAGTTACGCTTTATTAGAACTCAAGTTCCCTTGTAGGCAATTTGCTTACAGCTTATGTTCATTTGGATTTAATTGTGATAGCAGAGATAAACGGGCGAGAGAAAGAGAGAAAAAATGTATCAAGCAAAAACGGCATTATCAAGCACCATCTTGGCAATTAAACAGCACCAGAAAGTGTTACTGTCAGTAAAGTGGTCCTTGTGAGGTTTAACATTACATAGTTGATTCATTTAAATTAAGATTTCTGCTATTAAATGAAACAGTATCCTTGCAAAAAGCACAAACTGCTCTCTGAAATGTAACTCACAAGCATTACTATGAAGCTCCATGTTTACTCCATTTCAAATCTTAAAACATTATTTTGAAGGTTCTACACATGCACACAAATACCTACATACACACAAAAACCTCTGGCCCTGCACATTGTCTGATAAGTTTCCATATTCGTACTTCTGTATCATGACAATAACAATAGCATTCAATCAGCAAATCAGCAATTCATCCACCTCCACTGTCTCTATTCTACACTCAGGCAGATTAATGAAGTGTTTTATAGCTTTACCAGCAGTGCAACACTCCTAATATTTCTCACTTCTGAAGGCATGTGCCATATTTTAAAATTCAGTGTTTCAGAAATCCTTTTATAGCCTTTAGCAAAAAACAAAACAAAACAAAAAACAAAACAAAACAAAACAAAAAAAAAACCAAAAAAACAACAAAAAAAAAAAAAACCCCACCAGTATCTGTAAAGTTATAAAAATGTTTTTCCTCTTCTAGATATGCATATTTTCCCTGTCACAGATAATAATGGTTTTTTTCTAAGTTAACTTTATAAGATACCAATAACTATTTTTCTACTGATTAGCTGCTTTTGCAGGTCTCAATAACTTAGAGGAGCTGGATCTATCAAACAACAGCTTGCAGAATTTGGAATATGGAGTATTGGAAGATCTTTACTTTCTGAAAATACTGTGGCTGAGAGAGAATCCTTGGAGATGTGATTACAATATACATTATCTTTTCTACTGGCTGAAGCATCATTACAACGTTCACTACAATGGCCTAGAATGCAAAATGCCTGAGGAATACAAAGGGTGGTCTGTTGGAAAATATGTTCGAAGTTATTATGAGGAATGCCCAAAAGACAAGCTTCCTGTATATCCAGAAACTTTTGATCTGGACAAAGATGATGAGGAATGGGAGCGACACAAAGAGCAAACAGTTCAGACAGTAAAGAAGCATGGTGTCATTGTCACCGTCATAGGCTAATAAGGGAACCCTTTCCCTTAGTAGATTTAAATATCCGTTATTTTGAGAAGGAAAAACATGCTGTTTACATCTGTTCTAATTATTCTGTTGGTTTGTAGGACTATCTGCCTACAAAGATGTCTGTATTTTGCCAATAATAACTACAGAATGACATTGGTTTGACAGCATCCTTCATCTAGTAATTGTTTTTGACAATTTGTTCTGGACACTCTTGTGAAATATTTTGGCAAATGTTTGAAACTATACAGTAAAAATCGATAGACACAAATGTACATAATATGGTGGGGAGAAGCTGTCTTATGTATGAACACAGTTTATGTGTTCACACAGAAATAGATGCAGGATTGTGACCAAGACCCACTTTTCTTGAATGTATTGACAGTTCTTTGTATCTATCAGTTTCCTGAAATATTCCCAGAAAACGTTTCTAAGATTTTTATATCGACTTCCTGTTGTTTTACTGTAGACCAAAAAACCAAACTTAAGACTAACTTAAAATACAATTCCAGAAAAAGAGGAATGGCAGTTGTTATACTAATTAGGATTCAAACACAGAAGGTGGGTTTCACTTGCTGGTTTACCAGTGTTCCTCCTCAGTCTTGAATGAATAACTCAGCCTCTGCCTCTTCCATACCTGAGGTGCCTTGAAACGATAAGTAGCCAAGACATGGTTGGTTCCCAAGATCCAGCTCCCCATGCTCATAATTGTCTTTGAGGCAAGCATAGCTGAAATCTTTCTAGGAAGAATTTTATGTTGCTGTTCTTTCAATTTGACACAGATTACATGCCATCACTTCTAGGTGAAGAAGATCACATGAAGGATGCTGTGGTCTGCATCCAGCACATCAGTGCCCAACCAAACTGAAGGTAAGTGTGCTTTTGAAAGCTCAGAAGTGTGGGACATTCTCTAAGTTCACTCTTCTCTCAGCTGATTTGTAAAATGCACGTTACAGCACCTCCTTGTCAAACAACTATCTATGTGAATATGCATTGATTAAAACCTGCGATCATTCTAACACCACAGTAACAGGGCAGTACAAATGTCTCAGCTAAACTGATGAGATCTCTGAAGATAAAATTCCTTGCTACATAATATACTTAGATCACTAAGAAATGCGTACGTGCAGAGTAGAAATTCAGGGCAAAAATTTAAATTTCTCTTGACTATCGTGGAAGAAGTTCTGGGAGACTCCATGGAGAAACTTTCCTCCTTTAAAGATCTGGAGACAATTATGGTGTTTGTGCATTCCTCTGGTGCTTTAGCCACGAGTCCCAAAGGTAGCTCATTTTGTTCTACAAGACAAAGCACTCAGTGCTTTAGTGCTAACATGAAATAAAAGAACAACATAAAGGAAAAATCAGGAGATGTTAAGGGTGGTAGGAATGCCAAAGAATCTCAAAGCAAACATAACCCATTATTATTTGCATTCCTTTATGTCCTTCATTATTCAGATATGAATATATTTAATGGTGCTTTGCTGACAAACTGGGTAATTTAGCCATTTCTTCCACAATATCCTTCAAAAACTTTATAGCAAAAACACAACAGTATCTGACTCATCCCTGTTCCCGGAAATATCTTAAGCATTATCTTCACTGTTAAAGGTTAATCCTGATAAGACAGAACAGAGAGGAAAATCCCATTTGCCAGTAACATTCACTAAATAGGGCATATTCTGGAAACTTAAAAGTGCTGAAAGTAAAAAAAAAAAAAAAAGTCTGCCACAAATAGTAGCAAGTATTAAGTAACATTGTCCTCCTCCTCTCAAATTCTGGAGAGTTATCTCAATACAGAACCACTGGATATGATTGAAAAGGACAGGCAATGAAACCGCAGCAGAACATCTGTTATTGGCAGCACAGCCAATGGTGAAAATCTGAGTAGGAAAATATGCATTTATAGACCACGTTATGTTAATTTCTGCAAAGAGTCAGTGCTGGGAAAAAAATACTAGCTTAAGGCAGGGTAAGTCTGGGTAGAAAAGACAATCCTGGAGAAGAATTTACGACAAAAGAAAAATATAAGACAAAATCTGTGTGAGCTGTCTTTGATCTCTCAGGTCAGCAAAAAGTACCAGTTGAAAAAGCAGTGGGATAAGACTGAGGACAACATGCAGTGGCCTAATTGCTCTTGTTCAAAGGCCATGGAGATTCCAAGAGACACCACACCCCCACTGAGGATGCGGTAGAACAATAATAATTGCAGAAATTGCAACTACAAAAAATGTAAGAACACAACAATAGAAACAGGAGGTTGGGGCAAGGGTAATATAGGTTAGCATGATCTCCTGATAGTGACTCATATTCTTTGAGAAAAGACTGTATGAACAGAAAAAGCATACAGGAGTTATGAAGGTTGTGCAGAAGGAGGCATCAGAAGAAAAAATACAATAATATATCTGAAAATCATACATATCGGGGACATTACTAACAACTGAAAAAACTTCAGCATTACAAGGTTAACTGCTAATTCTCTGAGCTTCCCAAAAATCTACTGTAAAGTACAACCTCCATCAAACACCACAGCCACAAAACACAATTTAATGTTGACATCTCTATGTTTCTGTACGGTTTAATCAAAAAGGTCCCAGAACAGCTTCCATGTCTAAAAGAAAATCATGGGCCTTCATGGGCCTTCCTCTTCATATATAAGCTCTTTAGGTCTCTTCTTTTGGTAACTTCTCTCTTGATTTCCCTTTTTTCTCTGTCCATTGCCAGGAAATAATTGCATTATACAATTGCATGAAGAAAATTGCCTTATCTTCCTGACATGCAGTGCATGTCCTAGGAGTGCTACCTTAAAGGTGCAGTCCTAGCAGTGGCTCTCTCTCTACACAGCCACATGAAACACAGAAAAGATCATTTTGTGTCATGTTTTCCACAACAGAATATAGGAAAAATGGATATGTGTGTCAATACTGGAAATAAAACACTTCAAAAGCTTCTGAGGAAATTTTAGCTCCTGCACTACGAATACTAATGGCAGCATTTAAAGGCAGTTCCCAGTCACACGTGGAAGACAAATGATTCTCCATGATCAATGAGTAGGTGGAGGAATACCACAAACAGCTGAGCAGCAACCCATGCATCTCATACACTCATAGTCCCTGGCACAGTAAGACACTGATTTGCCAAAGACAGTCTGAGCTGGAATCATATTAACATTCACATGCAGATATTAGACAAAGACTACTATTTAATGAATGTACCACAGGCCAAAGTAAAGAGTACACAAACCCAATTTTTTAAAATTGCAGATAATTAGTTTATCAAGAAAACCCCACAAACATGTTTAGTCAGATGAACAGACCTAACCCACAGTTAAAATAATTGCTTTTTTAACATTAACAGTAAAGGCATGTTGCCAAAATCTATGTAATCTTGGATTCATTTGGAAAGATGAGGTCAGAGCTGTAGCTCGGATAATTTCAAATGGAAAGGTAGCCTATAATTGAACAGACAGTTCAACTCAGTTTGTTAGCAGAAAAAATGTCAAAGGAAAAGAATCTCAATATGATTTTCAATCTCTAAAAGAAAATAGATAGCTTTGCAGCAACATTAAACCATCCAGAAGAACTTAAAAAGAACGACACAAGTAGGCAATATAATAAATACAGCTAGCCAGTGAGTTTCAACAAAAAAACATATGCAGTTAATCTAAATATCAATAGCATACTGATTTAAATGCATTTCATGCTTAAAAAAACCTATTGTGTATCTTCAAAGCCAGAAGAAACAGGTTTAAAATCAATGTTTTCCAAAAGCTCCTGTAGATTGTCATATATGATTCATCACAACTAGTTTAAAATAGCCCTCAGTAGATGTAAATAGACAAAATGCTTGATTTTGAGCCTGCAGAAAACATTAATTATCTACAAAAATGGAAAATGCAAGATTTGTAGAGACGAGAATTGAATCTAGTAAGATAAATGAAAATGGATGGCAATCAACATACTGATGCTCCAACACTAGATATGAATCAGTTAAACAATGTGACAGTGAAAGCTGCTTGTATACAAGATATAATTCAATCACAACTGTTCTTTACTTTTTTTTAGCTCTAGACACAAGAAACCTTACGACGATTTTCATTTTGTACCCAAATACATAAGAAAAACAGTCATAGAAGGATTTAATGTTTTTAAGTACAACACCCATAAAGGAGGTGATGTAGCTGTGTATAGTTTATTTTGCCTTGCTTTCTTTATTAGCTCCCAAAATTCATGATGATACTGGATTAAATTCTGTCACTAAACAATCTGCATGCTGGTATCATTGCGAATGTTATTTTATCTTGTGATACAAAAGCCAAAACCATGACCAAAATACTTTTTATTCTTAGCCAGTTTTTCTTTTTCATCACTAATCTAGAGACAAAATTGTTCTCACCCATAACTACAGTCATTTTCTAAAGCAAATGAAATCACTCTAATTGCTATAGGCTGCATCAACAATTTCAATAATGTATTATCTAATTAAATAATAAATGCATTATCATCTCAAAACATTAAACCCCACTTTTTTATTTTGAAAATAAAAATATTTTCCTTTTCTTTTTTATTATTTGCATTCAGTTAAAGTGTAGGCTAGAAAAGAGTCAATCAGTAACATTCTCCTGCTTCAGAAATACTGTGCCAGGAATCAAAAAATGTTTGGGATCTTGCCTAGTTTTTCTTCTCATGAAAACACTTCCAAGATGTTTTCAGACTCTTTATGATAAAATAGATGAGTAACAGTTGGGATGCAGGTGATTCCTAACAAATCAAGCACACTCTCACACTAGGACTAAACTTTCACACTGATCATAAAGGCTTTAAGTTTTCCTGTTCACTTCTCTGCTTAGTGGAGCATACAACCATATTGAGAAAAATATTACTGACCTGAAACTATTGCAAAATGCTGTCACGAAGAGAATTAACCTCCAAACCCTCAGTCACATGTACTTACATGCACAGAATCAGGAAGAACTAAGATGCTTTTTTACATCTAGATGGACTTTGATTTGCATAGAATCAAGTACTGAACAGCTCATTAATCTAGGACCATGGTCAGTTTTTGGGGGGGTGGGGGGTGGGGGAGGTGGTTTAGCTTGTTTGTTGTTGTTTTTTGGTATGGGTTTTGTTTGTTTGTTTGTTTTTTATTGTCAGTGAGCCTCTTGTTGGAGGCCAGTAACTAACAGTATAGCCCAGGGGTCAATACTGGGGCAAGTCCTGTTTAACATCTTCATTAATGACCTGGACAATGAGACAGAGTGTACTCTCAGCAAGTGTGCAGATGACACCAAACTGGGAGCAGTGTCTGATAGACCAGAGGATCATGCTGCCATCCAGAGGGACCTTGACAGGCTGGAGAAAGGGGCTGACAGGAACCCCATGTAGTTCAAGAAGCACAAAATCTGGCATCTGGGAAGGGACAACTCAAAGCACTGGAACAGTTTGGGGGCAGCCCAGCTTGAAAACAGGCTGTCAGAACAGGACCTGGAGGTCCTGCTAAACACCAGGTTGAACCTGAGCCTGTGATGTGCCCTTGCCAAAAGAAGATGGGTGGTATCCTGGGCTGCACTAGGAGTGCTGCCAAGAGATCCAGAGAGGTGATTTTTCCATTCAGCACAAGTGAGGCCATACCTGGAGTACTGTGTGCAGTTCTGGGCTTCCCAGTACATGTGAGACATGGACCCCCTGGAGAGAGTCCAACAATGGCCAAAAAGATGGCTAAGGAATGAGAACATATTCCCTATTAGTAAGGCTGAGACCTCCAACTGTTCATTTGGAGAAGGCCCAGGGGGCTCCTAGCAAGGTAGCATTTACTGATACCTTAAAGCTAGACCAGTGAAAAGAATAGCAATCTCAAGGATTCAAACATAACAAACATGGATGTCACTTCTGCATAATATTTTCTACATGTTTACATGCTAAAATGTCACATATCCATAACCATTTGCAGTACTGAATTGCACCATCACATGCTGAAATATCTGACATGCAACACTTAAAATCTGCAATTCTAAGTATGAAGAAAAAACCAGAAAGGAACACAGTTAATAATATCCTTCATCACTTTTCCTAAAGCAACTTTTATATGAATGAAACTTCACGCTTGTAATGTAATTACTTTTATAACTGCACAATAATACACTAATGGCAGCAGTTTAAACTTGATATGGTAATTGGCTGATAGCAAAAACAAAAAAAACCACTTTATAATTTTATCCCATATCCTGTCACTGAAGAGAATTTTTCTTAAACATTTCCAAAGAACTTTGCATTTAAGATATGTAAGTTCATAGTAAGTTATCAGTGTGAAAACACAGCAAAGATGCCACTGTGGGTTACAGAAGGGTATTTCCATATTAGCTACACAACTCCCCACAGACTATAAATTCATTCAATAGAAATGGAAAAATCAGTAGGAAAATTACTAATAATGTGTCTTTTCCCACTAGCATTTAATTGCCTTGGTAATACAATTCAGGTAATTTGCCTGCTCCTCAAAGTATGTTCAACAAGCTGTCTCTGTTCACTTCTTCCAGGTTTTCTGGCTTTATGTTCTTATAATAGAATTTTTGGAACTTGCTATAGCCACTTGCTACAGCCACTTGCTACAGCTCATTTTAAAGATTTTTAGCTGATTCAGAATGCAGTTGGGGTTTACAAAGATTTTTTAAGGTATAGAAATGTGTAGGCCTTTTTGATAGCAAATCTTGTTCATCTCTTCAAAGACCTGCATCCATGATAAATATAGTTGGATCCGTCATGGGCTTCTGTAACCAAAAGTCTGTTTAATTTGGACATGTGGATGACTTCCTTAACTCCAAAACTCTACCTAATTTAAAACTCAGTATCAAGACCACAGAAGCCACCTTTAAAACACAGCAATAATTTTCTGCCTATAACTCAATATCAGGGTACTGTGGTACCACTGACCTTTTTCAGGAAACTGTAATTTACAAAGCAAATGGTTTCCATCTGGCCCTGAGGACAGATCTTGTCCAGCCATAAGTAAAAACTCAAAAAATTTTTTGGCACAGGAGCAGAACAAAAAGCTGCAATAAATGATAGTGTGCTAATGATTGTATTTACTAAATACCCTATAATTTTGAAATGATCCATCACCAAACATCATCTACAGTGCCAGAGAAAATAAAGGCCACTAATCATAAGTTCCAGAACTTGGAAAAGTCCAGGCATGCTTTATTTTCCACAGTCTGTGAATGCTCAGAGCAAACACATATTTGGCCTGGAGGAGACAACACCCAATAACAATCTCCTGTTGAAGGAGGCTGTATCTACGTCCTGGATCCACAAAAAAGAGAGCATGAGGATTCACAGAGGGACAAAGGAAGAGGGAAAGAGCTCTGCCTTTCTGCAGCAAATGGTCAGGCACTCAGCCAGAGCAAACCTCTGCTCTGTCTTCTAAAGAGAAGAGCCCTTTCTGCATTTCCCATACTGAACAAAATAGTGACAGCTCAAGAAAAAGAAACCACACAGCTGACAACCACAGAGATTTGTAATTCTCTCTGGATCAAGGGAGATGCAATCTTTTAAATAAAAAATGGAAGCATTTCAGTAAGCTTTCTGCTTTTCTGTAATAATTTTTGTTCCCTCTGCACTTTACACATAAATAAAGCCATTATTTTGCAGCTTGTCCCAAAGTTCCACAGCCCTAGCTCCCAGCACATGTCCCAGGATATGCTGAATTAGACCAGAAATGTGTGTTTAGGTGACTCAGTTGACCCAAAATGTCCACAAAAGTGTACACAATATAAATGTACACAATTAAAAAATGACTCAGTTATATGCATTCTAACCTAATCATAGAAGTCAAACCAATCAGTGGAACTGCTATTAAGAATAGACAGAATTTGAGACTATTATTCCCTGAGAATGCCCTGATACATTCCAGAAACAGGACATCTTTAGCCAGCCCAATCTAGCCAGACTAAAATTTTAACTATTTTAAGATACCCGTTTGTCTTGTGTCTTTCTTAATTGATTTTCACACCATCCTCACCTCTCATCATGCATTCCATCTAATCAAAGCTAAGACTTTAAGTCTGTGATCTGTCCTGTTTTAACCCTATCACTGCACTCTTCACCTCCCAGAAAAGCATCCCAGCTCTTTCCACCCTTATTTCTGACATACACTCCATTTCCCTAACACCTCCCAACCAGCATCACTACTCAGTCTTGGGAGAAGAGGACCAGCACCATCTGTCCTAGCACAGAACACAGGGACCTGTCTCTTCAGGCACTCATGGCATCAAATTGTCACAGCCCAAGCTGTGGATGGCATCCTGCAAAAAGACAGCTAGATAAATTGTTGGACCAAGAACATTTAATTTACACAGCATAACTTTAGATTATATATTATGCATTTTTTGTCTTATGCAGACCAGCTACCTAGACTTACATGTGGTTTTTTCCTTGTCAGTCTACACCCACATGTTCCACTTCTGTATAATAACTTTTAATATTTAGATATTATAATGGACTTATTGTAGAGCCATTTTCCACTGGCTTTTTTCTCATTCCTTTCCAGCATATTATATTTTATCCATCCTCTGAACTGTAAAACAGAATGAGTAATTTATTACAGTTTCTGACCTGAAGTAAAATCCACAACACTCTACAATTTGCTGTAAAATTCAAAGCAGTCAAGCTCAACAATACAAACCTCTGGATAGAACTGATGTTTATTATTTATAATTTAAATAAAATACACATTGATGATATTTTTCAGTAGCAATTCATCCACTCATTTTAATAAAATTTCTACTTGTTTGTAATTTTCTGAAGTATGGAGCAATAAAAATTTGCTTGCTTCCATTGCCATAAAGTCCTGTTACTGTCATATGTACTTCACTAAAGTACAGATCTGTATTTATGGGAGGACATTTGAGTGTTAATAGAAAATAATTTAAAAGTGCTACATACATGCATTTACTTAAATGCTATTCATATTTGCTTGGCAATACAAAAAACCCCAATGTAACAGAATGCAAATTCAATTTATATCTTACCAATTTTAACCTTTGGTAGAAGTCCCATTTTCCTTCCAGGCTAGGCAATAAGAAATAATTAGATTCAGAACAAAAATGTATTTCAAATGAGTCATATATCACTGATATATTAAAATTCAGTATCTCTCTGTATCTGACTTGCTGAATGAATTAGACTTTCCATGGCTACATTCATTTGCCAAAACCTCCCTCATTTCATATTAAAAAAAAATATCATATTCTTGGGAGAGATTATAAATGGAACATGTTCTGTTCCAGTCCAATGTTTGTGACAATTAACAAAACTCTAGGCTGAGACAATATTAGAAAGGCTGCACTGAAGGAAAAATGAATAATCTTCCATGTCCCTATTGTACAAGACAATAAGATTTTAAAAAAGGTGGTGGGTTTGGGTTTTTTGTTTTTTGGGGGTTTTTTTGGTTTTTTTTTTCAAGAAGGGCTACTGTATTAGGAAAATATTTGTAGTAGAAAGGATTATGAAGTACAGGAATATACTGCCTGCTGAGATTGGTGTGTCTCCAACACCTGTGATATTTAAAATGACTAAAAACACCCTGGACAAATCTGCACCAAGGTTAACCACAGTACAGCTTGAAAACATTCACCTCCCTGCCAATTCTGTCATTCTGTGGCTCTTAGTAAGGATTTACATGAGTGTTCCTAGCGTTATACCTTATATAATAAGCACTGTATGCTTTTCAAAACAAAATAACTCACCTTACCTAATTCTAAATGGAGGATCATCACATTTTGTACACATAACAAATAAATCAGTGGATGTGTTTATTTATTGTGATTGTCATATTTTAAAACATATCTAGGTATTATCCCCACTTTTCAAAGGAAAATTTAGATTACATAAAGCATGATCTCCCTAATCCCAAGCACAGAAAACCAAAGAGCATAAGAAAACACAGATTGTTTACTTTCAGATCTAAAGGGAAATTGTCCTTTTTTGTCTGGGTGTACCACCATATATCTCACAAATAGAGGTGACTGAAATACAGAAGTGTCAGGTTTGGAACAGGAGTAAAGTCAGAACTGATGAGTTTTAACACAGAATAACATTAGAGAAAATAAATACCAAATCTAAGTTTGCAATCTCTCTTTATGTTGTTGTGTTAAAATAAAAACTTTTTCCTCACAAAAAAGAACAACATAAATGCTTTGGTAAAATATTTCTCCTATGAAGTTCCTGAAGTGTGTGTAAAATACAAATAATTACCCAAAATAAAGCTTCATTAAGTTTCTGCTGTAAAAGTCACACAATTCTTTTGCACACAATTTTTTAGCCATCTAAAAAATAATTTATGGCAGTACACAGAGTAGTGCTGCTTTATGAATAGTTTTGAGTCACATAAAAAAATTAAATCTTGTCTTTTCCATGTAGATGCAAATTAAAGGATCTAATTTGAAGTGATGAGCATTCAAGTATAATTTTCTGTGTATGGTTAGAAGTACTTCACTACCAAATGACACTACTGTTTTTACACAGAGAAGTTGAAGAAAAAGTTAAATTAGCATGCAAGCCAGAACAAATTTCTGTGCTTGAAGGAAAGCTCAATAAGTGAAATGCAGGTTTTCATCCCTCATGTCCACTCTTTCATTGATCAGCTGTATTCAGCTATTTAACATACTAAATATTTGAGTTACTCTTTGCTAAAATTGTTTCATGACCCATTGTTACGTCAGCCATTAACCATATGATTCTAACTAGTATTTTAATAAACCTGTCTGAATTTCTACAAAACCAAAACTGTGTAAGACTATGGGCTAAAGATATCACTTTAAAGGAAATATGATCCTTTGAAAGTACAAAAAGCAATGGGCCTCAGAAAATACTGGGATTTATCTCATGTATTGCTCTTACTCCTAAGAAAATCTATGAGAGGATTTGAGTGCAACAAGTTTGTTTTTGCATAAGTGTACTGTATAAAGAAAGCATTCCACTTTTGGACTGATGTGAATACTAACTGAATAGTCAGCAAAGAGGAAACAGCTGAAATTTAATTGCTGTGAACTCAGGACAGATGTACTAACAGAAGACAAAATTGAGTACAGTTATACAGAGATAATCAAGAGAAAAATCCAGCCACACTGCATGCCAACTTACTGACTCACTTGTTTAGTGAGTGGATCCAAAGATTAAGGATTTATTACTCACACCCCATTGAAAACTTCAGACAGAAAAACACAGAGAATATTAAAGCAAGAAATATCACATTATTTTCTAAGATTCCAATATAAACAAAACTAAATCCTTATTTTTTTTTTATCTCATGCTGTGCTCTCTTCATTTCACATGGTGAAAGAACACACAGAGAACAGAAAAAAAAAAAGAGAAATACCTCACTTAAAGATGCAGTGCTTGAAAGACACATCCCTGGTTCATATAGGTAAATGTGCTGTGGACAGCAATGAAGTTAAAAGACTTAACATCATCTCGGTTTTGATTACCACAAAAGTAAGGGTTTAGTATATCAACTAAACAAAGAGGAGCATTAAGTGGAGGCTATATTCATTAAATATTCTGTAGACAAAAAAAAAAACCAAAAAAAAACTATTCATTAAATATTCGGTAGACAAAAAAAACCCCAAAAAAACCGCAAAAAAAAGCAACAAACCCCAACCACCCCAAACCCATGGATATAAAAATAAAATATATTCTATGTTTTTAGACATATTGTCTTACTGTTCTTGCAATATCATATGCCATCAATATTTGCAAAAGGCAATATTATCATTTAAGTTGCCGTCTACATAGAAGATGCAGTACCATTAGCATATTTTTAAAGTCCAAGTGCAATATAATAAGCCACATAGCACACACACACAGAGACTAATTGAGTATGTATCACAAGAAAGTATCTAATCCCTCTGCCATTATTTCTCTCAGCTTTTCTTCTAAAAATGTAAGTGGATCTTCTGGATGAGCAATAAATACAACACAGAGTAACACCTTCTAAAAGAAACTGCAAATTAATTCCTTGTATTTATAGCAAAGTACCATCTAGTTATGAAGCTGTTACACAGTTCACCAGAATCTTTTAAAGTACTGCAAAATAGAGGCATTTCTTTTTACCAGTTCCCTTTCATTCAATTTTAAAGGTAATATTGCATGTATCAGCATAATTCCATTGGTAGTCACCTATGTACTGATTTTAGAATAGTAAAATAAGTGGCATTTATTTAGCAATTCCTACAAAGAATTTCATTGCTTTTAATGTGCATTTAAAAAATGTATATAAGATAGGATAATTTTATTTACTTAAATAAGAAACAGAACCTAAAGCAAGTTTAATACTATGAGGTAAAGAGTAGGTTGAATGGGCAAAAACTGATCCTGTAACCAACACTGAAAACAAAATGCAGGTAAAAAATATTTGCTTTTCAGGATTGTTTTATTATACAATTTTACATTATCTTTTAGTAACAGTGCACAATAACTAATGAACCATTTTTTCTCATTTGTCCTTTGGCTATCTTCAGCTAAAGGACATGGATCATTTACTTTTGGACTTTCAGCTCACATACAGCAAGAACATTCAAAGTATATTAATATAATTCAAAGTATATTAATATATATGGGCAAATTGCAGTTATTTAAGTGAATATTTATTGCAAATTATAAACAAAAAGTTATTGTGGCTGGTAAAAATGTCAAAACATGGTATGCAATACTACTTTCCTTTCAAGACATGGCCTCTTGCTGTTATTAAATTAATGTGGAGCTTGTGCTTGAATCCTTTTCAGAAAGCATGGTGGGAGGACAAAGGAAAACAGGAAGGCTCTAAATCAAGCCCATGCTGTGGACAAAGAGCAAAAGCCATGCATGGCACAAAGGCAAAAAAGGCAAGTTGCCTGTCAAGTTGCCCCTTGCCCTGCAGAGACAGAGAGCAGGGCAGGCAGGTAGAGGACAGGCCTTGCATGCTCTAATCAGCACCCTGCGTAGGGACAGAATCAGACAGTGATGTCAACTGGAAGGGATCTCTGAAGATAGCTGAACAAAAGTTGTTGGGATGCCCCATTATTGGAAATGTTCAGAGTCAGGCTGGATGGTATTTTGAGCAAGCTGATCAAGTGAAAGAAAGGTGTCCCTGCTCATGGCAGGGTGGTTGTGCTAAATGTTCTTTGAAAGTTCCTTCCAACCCAAACTGTTCTGTGCTTCCAGGAATCTAAGTCAAGACCAATACGAAAAGGTGAAGACAAAATTAAAGGCCATTGTCTTCAGTTTAGACATCTGAATATTTGCAACACTAGTCAACACACCAATTCCAACCTTAGCACCTTTTCAATCCTCTTAACAGAAATGTAATTTGCAAGGTGTGGCTGACCGTTGACTATATTAAAAAAAATATAAATGCATCACTTGTCATTGGAACTCGTGGCATGCAATATTTTAAATAATAAACAGCTAAATGGGTTTTATCACAAATTTTCCTATGGGCAGATTCCCACACTGCCTTTCCCAACACTGGTAAACTACTCCCTCTGCTGGATAAGCCAGTATGTGACTGCCATATTTTATTTCAAGTATTGTTTGCCTTTCCCCCCTACCCCTTTTTCAACGAAACAGACAAATTCTTCTACTTTGGGTGCTCTGAAAGTTCCCGAACACAAGAAATCCAGTCTATCCAGGGATATACTGGAATGCAATGCCTCTGTTTATCATTTGAGAATATTAATTAAGGAGGGAATTGTAACACCTTGTCTTGCAATCCTCGTTCAAGTACTTGCCAATAATGCTTGGGCTAGGTGTAAAACAGGAAACAATTGTGTCATTTATGCCAAACAATTAGGTTTTGGCAAAACAACAAGTCTGGCTCTTTCTATTAGACTTCTACAAGTCTCTCAGCAATCTGGAAGAGTCCCTCACCAATGTCTTCAGCCTTTCTTCTCAATACCTCTTTAGCCATTTACCCTTCATGGCAAAATTAATTTGGGTCCCAGAGCAGAAAAATCTTAGGCCAGCTCTTCATCCATATTTACTACTAACATTGTAAGAATACAGCTACTAACTACAGTGAAATTGTCACACACCAGAGTGTTTGCAGGATTACAGTTTTTGCATGACTTTTAATGAATACTGTTTAAAAGTAAATCTGGATGAGAACAGACAGAAATCAGACAGGAAGGAAATTCTCAGATCCAGCAGGGAATTCTAAATTATGTGGACAAGATTATTTGGACTTCAATTTGTTTGGATTATGTCCAAACCACAACCTCATCATAAAAAGACTTAAGTAAATTACCATTTTAGAACTCTATATCCTTAAATTTGAGACTATATGTATAAATGTTCAAAGGTCTCAGCTTTGATGTTCCTTAATAAAAGGACCGGTATCATCTCATTTATCTTCACACCAAGCATCCTGTAACTTCATAAAGAAATTAAAATATAACAAAATTAAATAAGAAATATGGCTAGATATCAGCATGCAACAACCTCTAAGAAACAAGAAAAACATGGATAAAAATATCTTACACAGGGTAATTTTTAACTGGTTCTTTTTGAAAGAGTCATCCTTTAATCTTATCCTCAATTCTTTCATTTTTAGTCCAATAATTTCAGTGCTGCTATAATGTTGTTATAGCGCTATAATGTTATAACTTTTGCTTGGAAAGACATGAGCTGGTTTTTAAGTGCTGAATCAAGACAGACACCTCATGCTGATACATTTTATAATTTGGGTTTTTGTGTTTAGAAAGCAAAGAATGACCTAGAGACAGACTCCCAGGAGAAGTACTCAACATGGCAGCACTGCTCTGTAATTATTGTAATTTGCTCAAGACTTCTTTATTAGTATTTCCATGGAAATCCTGGCTGTAATAGCTGATTGCAAATGGGGTCTATTTTGGCAGATTAAATATAGCAGGATATCTCTTAAACTTGCATTTGTGCATTGTGCCTTTTTTTGTTTGAAGGAAACTGAAAAACAGCTGCTGCAGATTTGGTAACAAGTAGAGGTGAAGACAAACGCGGAAGAAAATTTAGAAACACAGAGAATCACCTTGCAAATTCTAAGGGCAAACCTACCAACCCTGTTTCCCCCACAGTCCTTCACGCTGTGCCAGTTTTACTCTCTGACATTTTATGGAAGTCTATTTGCTCTACTATTTACTCTAATGTACTGTATTAACAAGAATGCCTAATCCACCAGCATATCTGAAGCATAATCAGTGTCATCTTTACAAGGGAGAGGTGGTTAGAAAACATGGATTGCACCCACTCATGAGGAAGGAATTACCTGGCTGGAATCTAGAGGTTCTTCTGTAATTAACACAGAAGCTAAACGTAACAGGGAACGTGCCAATGCAGTTCACCGGGTTCGTCTTCATCTAAATCCTCGTTTTAACACAGATTATAAAGCAGAATTGCTTTGTTCCATCTTGTTACTGTTCCTGAAGTTTTCATAAATCATTTGAAGCATGCCAACGACAAAACGAGCAGACCAAAATCATGCCCCAGGGAGAGAGCAGTGGGAGGGATGCGAGATGCCCCCGCCAGCGCTGAGGGGCGCAACGAGCCGGGACCGGAGCTCTGCTGAGGGGGACCCTTCGTGGGGGTGGGCGGCGGGTGGCTCCCTGCCGGGGAGTTTGTGGTCCCACCGGCTCCAGTGGGACCAGGCTGCCGACCGCCTGGACACCCAGGGGGCGGCGGAGACGGCGATCCCCACTTTGGGGATGATGTGCCCCCGCCAGGGGCTGCCATGGCGCAGGACCGGCCTTCCCGCCGGCGGGCCGCCTCCCCGAGCGGGCAGCCCGTGTCGGAACGCGCTGTGGGACCGGGCCGGCCCGGAGCGCGGGTGATTCCTTCCTGTAGAATAGGAACTGCAGCGCATCGTTGTCACGCAGCGGCGGAGCCTCTCCCGCGCCCCGCACACGGAGCTGCGGGCTCGGCATCCCTGCGGCACCTCAGGCGCAGCCCCCGCGCCCGGGGCCCGAGGGAAGGGCAGAGCCGCCGCCGAGCCGCGCCGGATGGGGCGGTGGCTTCCGCGGGCCACGCAGCCGCGGCCAGGGCGATGTGGGAGCAGCGGGGCGCGGCGGTGAGGGCGGCGGCGGCGGCCCTGCTGCTCGGGGCCGGCGCTTGCTACTGCCTGTGGCGGCTGGCGGCGGGCGGGAAGCGGGGGCGGCGAGCAGCGGCCGTGCAGGGCCCGCCGGCAGGTGAGGGCCGGGGCAGGGCAGGGCAGGGCGGGCCTCGCTCCTCCGGTGTGCGGCGGGGCCGGGGGAGGCTCCGCGGGGCCCGGGGGGTTCCCAGCCCGCGGCCCTGCAGCGTGGTTCGGGGCCCGCAGGTGGCTCTGCGCCCTGACAGAGGCGGTGCCACAGTCCCGAGTCCCGGCCCTCCATAGCCTTGTGGCAATCTGGGGCACTCTGGAGTGTGGTTTATTTTTAGAAAAGCCTATTTTTTTAAAATTTATTAGTCTCCCAAAGCGTACGTCTGATCAGTGTTTACTTATGTAATTGCAGTTATTTGTGTTCCCCCTGTAATTCAAAGCTAAGCGGAATGTGTTTAGATGAGGATGAAAAACTATTTTGTTTTTGAAGTGAGCCCTTGAATCGTCATAATTAACTTTGACTTTTTTTAATCTCGAAAGAATACTATGGTGTTTCCCTGGTCAAATGTTGGATGTAAAGCTGTAGAATTTAAAGCACTGTTAGCTTCTCAGAAGTCATCTCGAGTAAGCCATGACTAGTCCAGCAGTCACAGATCAGGTTTCATGGCTCTTCAGCTGGCTAAATAGTTCTGCCTCAACCTGGCTGAAATGGCCTTTGATAACATTTGTTGCCCTTTTATAAAGGTCAGGTACTCCATGACATCATCCTGACTCAGAAGCAGCCTTCCTCCTTGTTTTGAGTGATGCCATGATCAGCAGAGTTCCTAACATGATGGCTGTTACTTTGTCAAAGAACCTCACTGTACCAGCAAAAGCGTCATTATTATAATTTCTGGAAGTAGTAGTCTGTAAACTGGAGGTTTTGTTTCGTACAGTGCCCAGACAGATTTCCACATTTCATTTTGGGGATACAAAAAAAAAAACCCCAAACTATGTTTGGTGAGTATTCCCTAATAATTTTGCAGAGGAAATTTGCTATTGGTTAACCAGGAAGTAATGCACCTCAATCTCTAATTGTGTGTTCCTTTTATGTTCCACCTTCAAAAGAAGTAATTAGAGGACTCAGGAAAAGGATGGAAATCTTAGTGTCATAAAACAGTCTTTTTACCATGACGTGATGATTTGGCACAACATTAGAACAATATGTCCTACAACTAAGAGCTAAATTTCAGCTTTGTAAAAAACATTAAACAGCAACTAAGTGAAATGTCTCAAACTTAGTATCAAGTATTTAATTTCTAAATGTTGACAGACAGCAGTCCTCCAGTGTCAGCCCATACCTTGGATGTGGATGCTCTACAGAAACTTATTCATCTGCTCCAGGCCACAGATGATCCATTAATTCAAGAGCAAGCTTTAATCACTCTCAGCAACAGTGCTGCCTTCTCTGTAAATCAAGTGAGTATTGTTCTGTAGAAAACAACAGTGTCCAGTGCCAGCCAGTCTGGCAGAGGAGAGCTGCTGTTTTGCTAAAAAGTGACACAGGACTGAAAGCTAGGACAGATTGTGCTCTAAAATCCATTTAATGTCTTGCCTTAATTTCTGCAGGGCCAAATAATATAACTTGCCATCTTCACAGAATTTATCAAATTATAATGTTTGGACCACGTAAAGTCCATACAGAGTCTTGTACTTCAAAAGTGTTGTAAATATATCTTTTGTTGCTTACAATTATGCAATGTTAATGAAAGGGTTGAATACTAGGTTAAATACTTTCTGGTTCAGATCTAAAGTTTAGTGAGATAAACTATATTTTTCATCCCTCACAAAGTTGTGTGCTGTTTGCACATTAGCAATTTTACAACTATTGAGCCATCTCCAAATCATAGAGTGCAGAAAACCTTTGAGCTGGACGCCAGTGTTCATGCCTTTTTAACAGTTTAACCTCCAAGGTCCCAGCCTTTTTGCTACTTATGGTTGCCATCTATTCTGGCTTCTCAAAATGCCTTTCTTAATATAAATCTTTTAGAATGCAACTGGAGCATAAAGCTCATTGGTCCATTTAATTAATTTTTTTTAGAGCAGTATTTTTTTAAAAAGACAGTTACAGTCTAAGTGAGAAAGATTAAAACAGTAATAAAAACAAGTGTAATGGAAAAAGTTTCAGAACCTCTAATAATATGAAGCTACATCTTGAAATTATGTCCTGTTCAGGCAGGACTTTTAGGTCCTGCAGTCTGGCTCAGTTGTTCTATTAACTCATTATCAAGTAATTTCCTTTTATTCTTTATAATGTAAAAAGCTTTAAGCATGCTTTGCAGACCAGATTTTAAAAGCAAAGGTGACGTGCTATTGTCAAATAACAGCAACTAATAGTTTTTTTCCTAAGGAGGACCCTTCTTAGTTTCAGTAAAGCAATAAAGCTTTATCTGCTAACACTGTTTAAACAGAGCAGTCAGTTCTGGAATTCTTCATTCACATACTTCATTTTTGTCAATATGGAGAGGTTGAGGGAATGCTTCAGCATTTAAATTGAATTTTTTAAAATCCCATTTAATATCTTTTATATTTCAGGATATAATCCGAAATTTGGATGGTCTTTCTGTTATTGGAGGGATGCTCTCCAACTGCGTGCCCAAAGTTAAAGAAAAAGCACTAAATGCACTTAATAATTTGAGTATGAATATTAAAAATCAGGAAGAGATACAGGTAAGTTTCTTAATGGGAAAAACCAAAGTAACCAAGGCGAAGAGATAGTACAGGTCCTTCAGCATATTTGTTAAATGCAAGCCAGGATGCCAAAATGCTTTGATGATAAACATACAAGTCAGCAGATCTGGATGACTGCAAGGATAACTTGAAATGCATTGCTTCACTGGCATTTAATTTTAAAATAAAAGATAGGAACCTATGCAGTTTGTGTTCAGCTTTCACAAAATACTGTTAAAGAGAGATTGTGCTGCTAAGATTATAGCAAAATTATGTGAGGTAAGATGATTTCCAGACGTGCCTAGAACATCACCAGTGGCTGTTTAACAGAATGGATTGCAGACTGAACTTGCCAGGACTCCTTAGGTGAGGACGAAGAAAAGAGTAATTGAGCCCCTGGGTTTGTACAAGACCAATTTTTCAGGTGATACTTTTATCTTAAAAGTATGTAAATTATAACAAGTTCCACTGGTAAATACATGCTATGGATATGAAAGGACTAAAGATCAAGAAAAAAGAAATCTATCTTATTAATCAATAGATCAAGGTGTCCAAGTGGTAAGCTCAGACAGATTTGAAGATTTTTACTAGTTTGTTTCAGTAGCTTGATAAAAAGGTAGTGTGACTGCATGTGGTAGTTTGCAGCATCTTTAGCAATAGGCAGTTTTTATTAAGTAGTGCTTGTCAATATTTGTCTAGGGTATAAGTAGAAAATAACTCCTTTGGTAAGGGTAAATTTTTTTTTTTCCCCAGTTAGGACTCCAAGATTCATTGTACACTCTCATCCAGAAGAAAAATTGGTAAAAATAGTAGTTAATGTCAGTTGTCATTGCTGTTCCTACAGTGTGCTGCAGTAAATGCACCACATGGTTGGGAGAAAGGATTTAATTTCAAAGCTTGTCCTTAGCTTCTTCTCAATATTTAAGATGTTAGTTATTTATAAGTGATTTTTTAAACAACTCCTTAAAGCAGCTGTGTCACTTCTGAGATGGAGGCAAAGCAATTTAAGTTTTCAGAACAAGTTATGTTTCAGGAAGATTAGTGAGCATAATGCTGTATGGTCTGCTTCTGTCATGCCACTAGAATGTTTGAAATATTCAAAACAAAAACATACTCATTTCCAAGAACCTTCACCATTCAGCCAGCAATGTTCAGGAAATATTTATGTTACTGTAGCTAGGCCATTGATACTATTTGTGACAGGAAATATGCTTTTATTAAAAACTATTCTCTCTTTATTTCCTCCCCCCTTTCCGCAGGTATTTATTACACAAGTTTGTAGGACTGTTGAGTCAGCTCCCCTGAACTCCGATGTGCAGCTAGCTGGACTCAGGCTGTTGACAAATATGTCTGTTACCAGTGACTACCACCAAAAGATGATAAACTCAATTCCATGCTTTCTTCATTTGCTTTCAGAAGGAACTGAAAGGACACAGGTACTGGGTAGTGTTATTTTTACAAGCCATTTATTAAGCTGCTTTGCTTGTCTTGTTTCTTAACGTTTTGGTAAAATGGTTTAGACTGTGCTAAGAAAAACCAAATATTCATTAATGATAACAGATTTTATGCACTAAAATATAGATCTGTATTAATTTCACAGTATAAATTCAAAAACGGGGGAGGGAAGGGAATCTTGGTAGTGGAACCATCAGGCTGCAGCTCTACCAAAGCAGTGCAGGGTGCACTGTGATTGCCCTGTGCCTTTACCATAGCAACTCCAGAATTCCCTTCTGCATTAAACATTGCTGTGCATCACAGAGCAAGGAGAACCTGCATGGGGAAGGCTTCACTGAATCTCTGTAGGGAAACATGCCAAGCAGTGATCCTACGTTATGGACTGTAGTTCCATTGTGCTTATGACACCTCTGGCAACCTTAGTAACTGCAAGTGGAAATCGTGCTTATTTGTGACTTGCAATACTGAAACGAGCTTCAGATAGGGACCAAACTCAGCTTTAATTCAAGATGTTGTGGTACCATCAGTGTATGGTATCAGATCAAAACGAGTTTTCCAAAAAAACCATTTCCACTAAACAAAACCTACCTATTGTACTTAAGTACAGGAAGTAATATGGCCTTTTCCTAGTGTTTAAAGACTAGCATCACAAGGTCCAAGAAAGCACAAAGGTGTATTTGTATGTGCTTTGGATTATTTTAAATTCAATACTTAACCATCTTCTTTGTATTTTAAACATATTCTGCATTTGGCCTAGGATTCGTTATGGGTCTTGCCTTATTTTGATGTTTAAGTCAATCTGAATTTGCTTCTAACATATCTATATCTTGGTTTTCCCTATAGCAAAATACTCAAGATATTGGTTAACCTATTTTGCCTTTTCCTCCCCAAGTCAACTTTGACATTATTGATACCCATTACAGCCTTACTTACTGTTTTGGAGCTTTTAATGAACTTGAGCATTCCTCACTTCAGATTCAAGTTTTGAAAGTACTTGTGAACTTATCTGCAAACCCAGCCATGACAAGACATCTTCTCAGAGCTGAAGTAAGGTTCTTGCTGCTTCATTTTATTTTTAGCATATATACATGTGTACCAGTTTAGATATTGCATGCACTAGAAGAATTTTAATGTATTAGAAATATATATGCAATTCCAGGATAAATTCTAGACACTGTTTTGTTAAAATCAGTAGCTAAGTGCACATTCTTTCACGGGTGGGCTTTATTCCAGAGGGTAGTGTAATACAGATACTGTCCTTAGAGAGGGAGAGGCACAGGGCCTGTGCCCTTGGAGACAGTTGGTTGTACTTCCTGTGTACCGTTCCAAATAATCAATGATAACTTGCAGAAGCCTGTTCTAACCTTCCCTTTCCACCAAAGGGATAATACCATGAACTTCAGTTTGTATTATTACATTTGAACCCTAAACTTCACTTCCAGACACACAGTCAGTATATAGATTGAAAAATATCAAATAGAACCAGTACTGTAAGTGATCCTTCTCAACTGCTGTTTCTATAGCCAATGTACTGGACCAAACCCAACCAAATTCCACGGGAATCCCCACCCCTTTATTCAAATATAGCCATAAAACTGTTGCCTCTAAGTGCTCTAAGTGAACTTTCCCTGTGCATTTACTTATTTCTTCATGGAGAAATTTGTGTGACATTTGCTGTGTTGGCCTTGGCACACAAAGTGTTTCCTTCAGTTTCAATTCCTCACAAACAAAGCGAGGGGCTGGAATTGTGCTGCATCCTCATCCCCCTCCCCAAAGTAACTTTCTTAAAATGTGCAATGGCTTTTATTTGTGAGCTATCTGCCATGAGCAAAGCTAGTCTAGATAATGCTGTCTTTTCGTTATTCAAATGAGGTTAGTGTAGCTAAATATTCAATTCTCTGTTAAGTGCATCATTTTTCATTTATCAGATACGCTAACAAAAACATTCAGGGCAAAATCAGCATGGCTGAGAAGGAAAGGAGACCCTCTCTTCCAAATGGGAATTTTCCAGACAGCCACATTTTGGAGATGGAAAATACAAAGCATTTATTAGCCCATTGATGCACAGGCCAGTCTTTTGTAGAGAGAAAATGTGCACACTGTGCAGGTTTCTGCCAGGAGTTCACAGTATACTGGGAATTCATACAATTTCTACTTTAGATGGTTGAGGTGCACATTCTTTTCCATTTTCTTAAGTTGGATTTAGTTACATGTACTTACTGCTGGTGATTAAGCATGGACTATTTCTTCAATATCCTAGGTGCCATCATTGGTGTTACTTTTTGACAGCTGTGTAAACAGAGATGTTCTGGTTCGAGCCCTGGCGTTTGCAGCAAACTTGAAAAAGAACATGAATGATGAAGAAGGCACCACGACGGAGGAACACAGTGAAGACTCAATTTTCTTCACACTCTGCAGGGACTCTGCCCCATTTGCTCAGAGACTGGCATCTTTGCTGCATCACCCTGACACAGAAGTGAAAGAACAAGTTGTGAGAATATTAACACAATAGTGTTGTTTTTTTAAAACAGACTGACCTGATGAAAATATCTAATCTTGGCAATGCTATGCTAAAAAAGCCTGCAACAAGTAAACAATACAACAATGATGGAGGAAAAAAAGCCCTAAATACTATCATTTTAATAGGCACAAATTAGTTACTACAAAAGAGAATGCCATGTATTTAATACAGAGAGCATAACAAATATTTTTTACAAGCAAGAGAACAGCTTGATTATTACTGATAAACCACTGCACAGTTGCTACATTTATGCAATGGGGGCAAACAGTTTAAAACATGAAAATACTTATATGTAAAATGAAATTTTAAATGGATGAGTGAAGTGAATGAAAATATCCTTTGCAATGTCAAAGACCTTTTTTTTTACTTCAAGTATTTACAGTTGTTGAATATATACCTCATTAGAATTGTGCATTAAAGATTTAGCAATTGGAGATTAGGCATTTATATTTTATTAGTCTACCTACGAAAATGGTACAGCTGAATCTTACAAAATAATATTAAATAAAAACAATACCAAACTATCATTGGCTTCCTACAGAATTAGTATCTTCAATGAAAGCTGCATACTAAAGTCACCAAACCTAGGTTTTTTTTGTCATACCTGTATGGAATTTATTCTTAAACTCCATTTTTGTATGTTTAGTTTATCCACTCCATTTAGCCAAACTGCAGTGCAATTAACCACAACTGCAAAAGGTTTCTAGACTTGAACAAAAATTGAAATGATTTTATATTGCTTTAAAATTGTCACTTTAGGAAAAGACATATTTTTAAAAAGTATTTTATTAGGAGTCAAGGATTATCTGCAAGTGCAATTCAGTGTTCTCATTCTTATTAAAAAAAAAGTCTACAGGAGCAGTATCATACACATTTTTACAAAAGCTTCCAATTCTGTAGCAGTCCTTAGGCTTCCTTTCCTTGGATATCTTTACTCCTTTTTTTTTTTTCCTGCAACTGGAACATCACTGGAATGAGTACTTCTGCAGAATTAGCCCCCATAAAGTTTTAGTCAGCAACCCAGCATTAATTCAAAATGGAATTCGTACAAACATCACTGCAAAAGGACCTGAACAGAGTTTCATTGATGAACAGAAAACATAATGGAAAATACTTCTAAAACCAAACTGCTAAAAAACTTCCACTACAGACTAACTAAGAAAGGTTTCAGATGTAGTGGCTAGGAAAGTTTTCCACTTTGTTCAGTTTTGAAGAGAACTGTATCACCTAAACTGTTACCAAGTGCTTCATCTTTCTAATTTAGTATACTCACTCTGCTCTTAAGAAAACATTACTATCTTCTCATTCTGTAATGCAGTAGATACTTGTTTTCAGGAGGTCACTTTGCAAATAGCTAAAACTGCAAGAAAAATATGACCTTGAAACTGTGAGACACCCATGCCCTGATCAATACAGGGGTAAAGCTACACATATCTAATTTGTCCACGTAGGTAGTTTTAACTCACCAGGAACACAGTTAAGGCAGAAATAGAAGTTGGCATGATTCCCAGTCAGAAACTTGACAATTGCTGCATTGACAGTGAACTTCCTTTTCTCCTTCCCACTGCTCCTAAAACACTGCACAGTTTGTAATAAGCAAGTTACATTACAATCACTTAATGTTTTGCAACTTTTTGTAGATTTAATATTTTCTGCTGCTGAATTTGACTAAGAAAGGTAAAAACCAGGCCAGACACTAAGAATTTACATACCCTCCTTTCCTGACAAGACATTAGAACCAGTCTGTTCTAGATATAGCTGATACATGGTTTCTTAAGCTCAATAACAGATGTCTAGAAGTCTCTTTCCATGTTCTCCAACCTAAAAATAAGTTTTTCCAGTATCATCTTTTTGATAGAGTTGATCTCTTATCCATTGCTTTAACGGCTGACACAAACAAGTGACCTTTTCTAAAAATACATGAGAACTTGCTACAGTGTTGTCTCAGTTTTATTTTTCTGGTCTAGAAAGAACTATTTTTAAATGCTTTCTTCATAGAACAATGCTGTTGAGATGTCTGAAATCATGCAAGGCTTTCCAATGTGCCTTTATGCAAAGATGTCTCATTTTTTATCACCTACCTCACACCTTCGGTGGAATCTTATCAGCACCAAGCAAAACGTAATGGTCACCAATCTAGGTACATATGTTGTGAATTAACAGATCCAAAACAAAACATGTCATTACTGACATTTAACTTCTGATCCACGTAACTCAGTACATCTCTGCTCTGTGGCTGCTTAGCTAGGTGTTCTGTATTTTAGTTTCACTCTTTCTGAAGTACGTAATTTTACAGAATAACCTATTGATGATTATAAAAACAGGAAAAGAAAACAACCCACAACAAAACCAACCTTAAACTTGCCCTTCAAAGTACTCAAAACTTCTTGCAGCTTGGTGTCCTCCACAAAAGTACAAACAGGTAATATACATTGTATCACCCAAGTTGTGATTGAAGCTGTTGTGTAAATACAAGAGACTTCATCTGAAACACCTCCAACACTGAATAACAGGGTAATTTGAAACCAGTTTTGATAACTGTCTATAGTTAAAAGATTACCTCAGTTCTTCCTACCATGAAATCTCATTAACTGGTTTGGTTTTAACTAGCTGCCAGAAGTTCATGCCTTTAAATAATGTCTTTTTTATATATATTTGTCTTTGTGGGATATGAAAATAAAATGTACAACAAGAGGACCAACCCACATATCCCACAGACCAAAAGAAATTATAAACAAAACATGATTTGCCAATGAAATTATGAAGGAGAAAAGCAACCCTTTTTATTGGCAACAATAGGCTTTAATTCTGTCAATTAGCAAGACAATTTGATACAGACACATTTGGCCAAGTTTTATAACACTGAACAATGTTGTAATCTCATTCAACTTTAAAATTATAGGGAAACTATTAGAAAAATACCACAGCCCTTGCTTAACACTTTCTGCTGGGGGTGGGGGGGAAAAAGTACTTAGAAAAAGGCTGAGTTAATGCAAGGACAAGCAACATTAAGAGGTTTTTCCACTTCATGTGCTGCAATTGACACATTCAGACCTAACTTAAAAACACAGACAAAACAATAAAAGTGTGCAGATATTCTGGCCAGCAGTTAGTTTTACACATCCATGATGCAATATTAAATTATCTCTTTCTTTAAAAGGCACATTTCTTTGATGTAAAATTCAGCTTTTGTGGTTCATTAATACATGAAAATAAAGAGTGAAACAATTTTACCATGCTTGTGCTTAAACAACACAGCTGTATTGGAAGACTTCACCCCACAAAACATACAGTGAAGCTGTATGAAGCTTGTACATCAAGGTACAGGGCATAACCTGAAGATTAACAAGTGGGAGATGACAGTCTAACAATGAATAATTCAAGTCAGCCATTAATCCTAAGAATATGTTCTGTGCTGAAGTTGTTATTGCTGCTGCAGGTAAGATGAAGAGTTTAATTTTTCTTTTTTTTTTTAAACAGTGGTGTACATCCACCAAGTTATTCCCAGACAACACTTAATATATAAACCACTTTTAGATCACCTCTCTAAATTTATAAACAATATAACCAGTAAAATTTGTCATGAAATTGGTATGCAAGCTTTAGTTCTGAAACTGACAAACCTGGCATTTAGAAATCCAATTCAATCTCAAAAATCTATTTTGTACGTTATGTTAGTATTGTAACATTAATTGCTAGTTCAAATCAAACAGGGCTTACAAGGAACTGACACTTTCAGTTTTCAAACCGGTCGTTTGTATTCAAATTCCGTGATTCTCCATGGTGTAAGAGAAAGAAGTCATCTTTTTTCAAGCCATATCTTTCAAGAGCTTCATTCAATTTAACTGGAGGATCCAAGTAATACTGAAAAAAAAATGAGAATAATATGAGGGAAAAGATATCACAGCAATATTTTTTGAGGGGAAAAAAAAATTCTAAAAAGCGGGGGGAGGAGAAGGATATTCGTCAAATTAAAATGTTTGGGTTAATTTTAGATTTTTGAACGACAAGAACGCTGATTTACAGCTGCAGAGTAACTAGCAAGGCTCAATTTGTCAGCCCGCCTCGGTGGCCTTAACGCAGCCACCGCTGCCCCGGGAGGAAGCGCTGGCCGCCGGCAGCCGGCGCTGTCAGCGGTCCCGTCTGAGCGCTCGGCACCGCGGCCCCTCTCAAGGCACCGGGTGTCTTTGTTACACTTCCGAAAGGCACCGTCAAGGAGCGAGCATCTATTTTTGTGCTCCTAAATACACAGTAACTTTTGTACCGCGGGCACTAGGAACACAATTTATTGGAAACACTGCGGACAGGAAATGTTCCCTCCATGCTCAGCCACGGAGATGCACGAGCAGCTGGGAGGGAGCACAGACGGGACACAACATTTGGCAGATAAGGTGATCACACTATCGGGAATGAATTAGGACATAAAGTGGTGCAACTGATGCAAAAACAAAGTTGAAAAACAGTTACCAGACAGTATCAAAACAAATGTAGATACTTTCACAGCAACTGAAAGTGCAATGAATAGGAAGTATCTGGGTAACCTTCTTATTAGATCTGTGGACTTGGGGGGGGTGGGTGTAGAGGGGAATAAAACATTAAAACATCCTAAACTCAGAATAACTCGTTTTTTTTCATATCCTTTCTGGTTTTAACTTTGAATCAACTACTAAAAATACTGTTTATATATTTACTAGACAGACAAAATTAATAAATAATGTACTGACCTACAGGCATGCAGATTTTACTATCTCCAAGTGATGCACCACTCAGTTTGTTTTTATTACTGCATAACGTAATGCATAACACTGCATGTGTCCTCATCTATTATGTTCCTCAGCATCTGGATATCAGAAATCCTCCAAATTTGCTTCAATAACTCCGTAGTTTCTTAACCATGGAAATATTTTATGTAATTGGTTATGAAAAGCCAAGCATTGTTTTGAACAGCAGTATATAGGGTAACAATTTTCACTCATACAAAGTTCACATTTTAAGTTTACATTTCCAGATACGTAACTTAAAGTGCAAAAGCTTCACTAATGACTGTCTAGTCCTTGGAAATCTCAACTCATGTTTAGTGTTGCAATTTACCTCATTTGCTAAAGCAAAGGTCCCCCAATGAATTGCTACAGACTTCTTTGCTTGAACATCAATATGGATTCTTACAGCTTCTTCAGGATCCACATGCTGGTATTTCATAAACCACCTACCAAAACAAAGAATCACTTTTTTGTGTGACCTAATCCAGTGCAAGATTTCTCCTTTACTGCCATTGCAAAGTACAAAAAGAAATAAGTTCTCACCTAATCAAAAAAATCATAAGCACATACACCTGGACAACATACAGAATGCTCAAGATCAGGAGACTAACACATACCAACATACTCATCAAACAGCAGTTCATTTATTGTACTCTCTTTTTGAAGGACTTTTTCTTATCTCTATTTTCAGTAGATTAAGGACATATTACTGGTGCCTTGAGGCATTAGGGCCAAAACTTTAAAGCTATTCCTGAAAAAATTTGGCACTAGCGGTACACACCAAAAAGTGTGTGCTTCAGAGATAGCCCAAGGGAACAGGCAAAACAGAAGAGAGAACTTGGGAATTCTTGAGAGATACAGAATTTTTACCATGCTATTTGGATTCCCATCTTTTTTTCTCAGCCCATACATGCTTTCCTTCCAGCATTATATGAGTACAATCACCTAAATGTTTCCCCCAAAAGGAGAAATTTATCTCTCCTAAGAAAACAGATTTTTCATACTCTATAAGCCAGTCATCCTTGTCTCCAGGTAAGTTGCAAAACCAGGGTAAACACTGAAGCAAGAGAAAAATGCAGTAAATGACATACAGTGGAATGGGCTGGATTAAATGATGCTGTTTCAGAAAAAAAGGCACAGAGTAATTCCAGATTTTTACTCAACATTTTTAAGGGAAGAAAGACTCCCGATTCATCCTTGCTGTCCTTAAGTCTGAAGAAAAAACTCTCCAAAAACATCACACATACACATACTTTTTAATAAAGTACACCTATAGTTTTAACTTCTGGGTGCATTTTTTGTCATCAGTAAATAATTTCATTTACATTTACATATATTGCTCAAACTCCAATTTTCCTACCTTGGCTCATAAGCTCCAATGGGGATGGCTGCAAGATCAAAAGGTCCAAACCTTTTTCCTATTTGCTCAAAAGCAAAACAATATCCAGTATCTCCTGCAAAGAAAAACCTATTCCAAGGTCCCAAGACAGACCAGCTGCCCCAGAGAACCTTGTTATCATCTGTCACAGTCCTTTTGCACCAGTGCTGGGAAGGGGTGAAGACAAAAGTTACCGCATCGTGACCAGGGACACAGTTCTCCTCCCACCAATCCAGTTCGATGACATTCTCACAGCCGCATCTCTGCATCCACTGCAGCAGCCCCAGGGGCACAAACCAGCGCAGCTCGCTCCCGAAGCGCCGGTTCAGACTGGCCACGCTGTTGTAGTCCAGGTGATCGTAGTGGGTGTGGCTGATCAGCACCGCGTCTATCCTGGGCAGCTGCGCTACCGTGCACGGGGGCCCTCGGAAGCGCTTGGGACCCAGCAGCTGAACAGGGGAAGCTCTCTGGCTGAAGATCGGGTCAGTAAGAAATACAAGTTCATCCATTTCCACCATAACTGTGGCATGTCCCAGCCATGTGACTCGCATACCGGCTCCTGTCTTCCCAGCATCTTCTGGTGTTTGAACAAAGTAAGGCTGTAACACTGGGAGTTCTTTGTCGAGTTCCTAGCAAAAAAAAAACCAAACCAAAAAAACAACACAATATGCATGAGAGATTTCAGAATGTACTTGGCATAGAACAAAAACTGCATACAAGGCACAAATCAAGACTTGTACTTTGTTTATGCTTTTATGCAGAGAACTGCAGCACACACCAGATGCCTTTTTAATGTCCATTTTCCCAGCTATTCCTCCTAATTTAATTTTAGGTTTTTGCAACATTTGCACTTCTCTGTTGAGAAAGAGAAGAGAGTATCCCATCAGGCCAGGAGATCTGATAGAGTCTGGGGGCATTGCAACAAAAGCACTGCAAGGTACTAACAGCATCCCAGGAAGGGATTCCTCCACCTGAAAAACAATATGTGTACACACACACAGAGTGTTATTTAACAAATACTCAAGTTTAGTTTATGCAACTCAATGATGCACTCTCTTAAGTCCTAGCACAAGTAAGTCACAGAAGAAAGAAAATGCCATGTTCCCCAGCCACACTCCACAAAAGTTCTGGTAGCTTTTATCAGGCTCTCTGTCTGTCTTCATTACAGAGGACACATTAACACAAAGGTTAACCTCACTTGGCTAATGTTAGCTATTACAATTCTGCCTTCCCATCCTGCCAAGAATTTAATGAACATTCATAGAAAACAAAATCATTTTTAAGATAAACCTTAAGGTACTTAGATATGCTTGGTTATGAAAAGGCTCCCCCATCTCCTCTCTTATTCCAGCTTGACAAGTTTTGCAGTCCCTACTTGACTATGACAGGTCAGAAAACTGATCTGGCTAAACTTTAATCCAGAGGTAAAAAATACACAGCTCTCATTTTGATTGGCTCCAATTTGACTCTATCTGTGTATCCTCAAGCTGGCACAAACGAGGCCATGGCTGTACATTACCTATTGAAACTCACTGCCCAACAGTCACTCATTCTCTCATTTTGAACCAGAGTTATGCTCTTCACTGCAGTTTGGTTGAAGTGCTAATGCAGAAGTTTTATATACAATAAATAAGAGCTTTTCTATTAAAAAAAAACAACCAATCAAAAAGTCTTCTCAGAATTCCTGACCATCTCCAGGTTAGCCCCAATGTGGCTAAGGCTCTCCTCCCCAAACACTTATAGTCTGAACTCCTCACTTTGCTTTAGAGGAATTTTCATGTATTAGGGCAGCTTCTAGACTCCTGACACTCATCTCCCTCACAATCATAAATGTCCCAGCACTCCTGGTTCCAAGTCAAGTTCTGCCTGCCATGGTTGCTGCTCTCATTCTCCCAGCCTAGCAGAGATTAGCACTATCAGTGAGTTCATACAGAGCTGACCATGTGCTCCTTTAGAAGTCCAGCTGATGCTGTGACAGTTTAGCACTCCAGGAGCTGCCTTGCTAAACCAGTCCTGACAGCTTCAGGGAAGTTACTTTCTCCACAATATTTTATTGATTTAGAAGGCATATGTTGGGAAAAACAAAGTATGCACATCTCCGTCACCCTGCAGTTCTGCTGTAAATAATAAAATATTCATGAAATTGCTTTTTCTGAGAGCTAATGGACAAGACATGTTTACTGAAGAAGTTTCATTACTGTCTCCAGGAATGAGAAATAGATAACCTTCTATAAAGCTGAATATAAGGTTAGTACAATTCAACCCCTTAGTTCATACAAGAAAAGTGGGAATCTTAGACTGAGATAAATGGCTGCTTCACCAGAAAAGAAGCCATCATTTTCTTATATCTATTTCATTCTACATGGAACAACATTGGCCACAGAAATCTGAACTACAGAAGCATTATACTGTGATATTTCAATTTAAAAAAAACCAAAACAACAGATACACAAAACTAACATAGTAGTCAAAAATGGAAATTAGGATAAACCAACAAATTACATAAGGTTAAGTCAACAAATCAGATTATATCAAAGAAATAAAACTCAGATACAGAACTTAATGTATTGTCATAATGCAATTTAGGTCAGTTTGTACATTTTTATGGAAAATATTCTTTTTAAGTAGCTGGTTTTAGAGTCAGACTCCACATTTTCTCAGAAGTAAATTAATTCACTTATTTTTGCTGACATTTGGCACAAATTAGTTTTTTTAATTAGCATTATGCAATATTAATAAACAATATTAAATGGATGAGGAACTGGCTAATTGGCAGATGTGAAAAATTAGTTCTTAAGTGGGATTCAGACATATTCTATGAAGTTTTATCTGGGGTACAGTTAATTTTCTGCCCAGTAGCACCTACAGTGCTATGTTTTGGATTTGTGCTGAAAATAGTGCTGATGGCACACTGATGTTTTAGCTACTGCTGAGCAGTGCTTACACAGCATCTCAGCCAGCTGACTGGGTCACACAAGGAGCTGGGAGGGACACAGCTGGGACAGCTGACCCCAATCCATTAGAGAGAGATCCCATATCATATGGCATTGCACCCAGCAGTAATATCTGGGATAAGAGGAGGAGGTGGGGGACATTCAGAGTGGATGGTGTTCACCTTCCCAAGTAACTGTTACATGGGATGCAGCCCTGCTTTCCTGGGGATGGCTGAACACCTGCCTGCCCATGCCAACAGAATACATTTCTTAGTTGGCTTGTGCAGGCAGTTTTTGCTTTACCTGTTGAACTGTCTTTCTCTCAACCCACAAGTTACCTGATTTTTCCCCTCTCAATCCACTGGGGTGCAAGCAGTGGAGGGTGGAAGCAAGCAGCTGACTGGAACTTGGCTGCCTAAAGCAACAACACATCTGCACTATTAATAAAGGCTTTACAGGGATGTCAGTGGGATTGATGCTATCAAGTATTTAGAATAGTTGATTTAAAGGTAGAACTAATCACTATAAAAGGCATTTACAAAAGTCACAGAGACAGGAAGATTGATAGAGAAGAGCACAATCCAAAGAACTGCTATCCTGACCTATTTAAATGAAATTCCATGAACAAAAGTTCAAAACAAACCAAGAGCACAAAGGCAGTGTAATTTGTACAGAGCTTGTACTCTCCAGGTTTGTGATACACAGCCTCTGATCCAAAGCAATGATTCCTCAGAGGATGAGATCAGAAACCAGGCATATTGTTGAGCTATCATGGTAAATCACACCAGAGCATTACTTCTCAGTGCACATGATTTGTGTTTGGGGTTGTTTAGTTTTTGGTTTTTGGTTTTTTTTTTTTTTTTTTTTAGTATTTTACAAAAGCACACCAAAATCCCCTTAAAGCAATAAGAAATACTCAACTCATAAGATTTCTAACTAAACACAAATTCTATTAGCAGTATACTTCACAGGAAATACTTAAAACTCACACAACAGGATAAAGCAATATAATTAATTAAATATGCATTTTATGGAACTTATATCCTTCTACAATACATTTTTGTTCTGTCAGACTAACCAGAAACATATTAAAACTAGAAGAATTATAACAGAATTTTGAAATACAGCAATTATGTTGAATCAGCTACCAACAGAAGTAAAATGTGCTCAATACTGTCTTGTCTTCATTACTCAAGTAATACAAAAAATTCCTCCTGCTGTGTCCCTTCCCCCTTGCCATTCTTCTTGCCCTCCTAATGCAAAGCAAGAAAAAACACATGACAGGCTTTGGTAAGACTAGCTGATTAGCTTGGGATTTTTGGTGCTTAGTGCATACTGGAATACCACAGGATTTGCAGAAATGAGAACAATCTAAACTGCTGATCCAACAACTAATAATTAAAGATCCTTCAACAGCACTGAACAAAGTTAATAATAAAACCTGTAATGAAAATACAAGAATGCATTCTGGATGATGATATAGGCTCATTGTGAAGGCATGATTATAATACATCTAATTTTTCCATAGTGAAGCACAAGCACATATCCTGGATAATATGCTCATTTTTACATACACAAAGCACTTGGTACAGATAAACTGAACCTGCCCAGAATAGCAGGGCATCACTAGGCTCACTCAGTGTAGAAACTGAAGGAGAAATCTGGCTCAGAGGATGTGACATCTAGCAGCGATAAATAAAGTATGGAGCCCATAGTCTGAATTTTAAACAAGCTCAGATGCACTTCACAGGCTGATGTAGGGGTGGAAGAAAACTGGTTGAAACAAGCATCAAAAATGGCTGAGGACTCCAGAAGTGCATTTCATTGATCCCTATCTAGGTTTTTCTGTTTCTGATTTACTTCACGAAACTCGTGAATAATTGCAGGTGCCTAATTAAAAGATCTCCTATGCAAAAAATAAAATTAGCCCATGATTAATCCCAGCTGGGTCAGAGAGATGGCCTTGTAGATTTCTTTGTGATCATCCTTTATTGTAGGGACAAACTGTAAATTAAAGGGGAGTGCTGCAGTTCTGCACTCCATCAGAGTGCTGTATGCTCTGCACTGCACAGTACACCTCAGCATTGCCTTCGAGCGACTTCAGCCACTACCCAGGTTTCTGACTGGCACTGGGAAGACATGAAGCCTGTTCTACACATGCCAAGGAGGGCAGCAGTCAAAGGCAACTGAAAACATACAGGTGTGTGCATTTCATGAAAATGTGGCCAGCACATTGTCTAGAAAGCTGTACACACTGATGCAACCATTGTCACCATAAGGAAGACACCAAATTTGCTGGATGGGATCCCAAGACTGACACAAGTTTGCTGTTCTTCTTTCTAAGACAAATTATTATTATTATTATATTACAGCCAATTTATTTGTTCCTTAAACATCCCCAAACCTCTGACCATCATGTGTTAATGCCTAACGTGGCTTTCCTGTCCACAAAACTGATAGAATTCCTTCCTTCACAGGTAGTTCAGGTAAGACAAAATGGAAAGCTCTTTACTAAATACTGGCTGTGAGATTTATAGCTTGTGCATACCTTCCTGCATGCTTAAAAGCATTATTAACACCTGCTTGTTAAAAAATACTGTCCTTGGTTGCAAATCCTTCTGCACAGCTTTTCTGAAGTACAGTCAACACATGAGAAATGCACTGAGAAGTAATTCTGTCAAAACCTGGTCGTCTTCATACCTCCTGTGACCATAAAGATAACTCGTGGCTCTCCAGTACCCATTACTCTTCATGGGAAAGAAGCTTCTCCTGTCTCCTTCTTTACATACAACACCTGACAAAAGCATTTCACCACCAACAAATAACAGTGTTACCCAGTAAACTGGCACTGTACTTTAGGTTTCTGAAACTTTAGGTGTTTCAATACAAATACTTGCTCAGGTTAGTTTTAACACATGCAATTTTTTCTCCTGGTGTACTGAAACATAAAAAGCCAGATTTGTAAGTATTTTCCTAAGTAGGTGACAGAAACTATTACATCTTCATGCAAGAGATGCAACATGTGTATTAAATTGCCAACAGGGAAAAAAGGCAAAATTTTAAACACTGGATATGTCATGAAATAAGCTATTTCACGCAACACAAGTTAATAGTATGCTTCATAAGGCAACACCTATTAAAAAGGAAGGGCTGTAATGGGTTTATGACTGAGCTAGGGGGCCAATTTTTTTTGGTTTTATATATATAAACTGAGCTGTATAAATTAAAGCATGTGGAACTAACAAGGAGATAAAAATTAAAGAGGTAAAAAGTATTCACCTACCTTTTGAAAATAATAAAATGTCAATAAAATCAGAAAAGTAAGACTTAGAAAAGTCTCCAGAAAATGCCTTATGATTATTAGTTAGAAACTGTCCTATTTTACTGATTAGAGCAGAGGTAAAAGCAGTCTTAATCACAAAAGTAAAACATGGAAGTATTCACCTGCTTGGAGCGTGGCACATTGCTGTTATTTTTTTCCATGAAGGACCATTTCAAAATGTTGGGTAAGGTTGGTGATTTCCACGTTGGCCATGGGTTGACAAATCTCCCATCTTTGCCCCTCTTTGATTTAGTTACATCCTCTTCTAATCTGTAGTCCAGCCTGAAGCTTTTTCTGAAGGTCCTGGAAGAATCATTGCCCCCGGACCCTCGACCCGAATTCTGACGTTTCTTCACTGCTTCCTTAGGGTACTGGTTACAGGCAGTTGAAGGCTGCTCTTCATCTGTGTTCTTATCCATACCTTTTTCAGGAGAACTAAATCAAATTTTAAATTAATCAATATTTTCTTGGTCTAGCACCAACATTCATAAGACTGAATGTTCTCACACACATTAGGAACAAGCCCGCCTTTCCTGTTTTATGACCTACTGTATTTTTTTAATCAACAAAATATGCTTTTAAACCAGTCACTATTACACAAAAGACTTCAAAAACATGCTGTGACAAGCAGACATGAGGGCTCTTTGTAGTTCAGGCTGAATTTTACTCCCTGGAATGCACAGCTTCCGACACTAACACTAGTATCCACCAACTGCAAAAGTGAGGGGGAAGGGTTCCTTAATTCACATTTTGGAAGAACAGGCATTCCACCTGAAACTTATGACATTTAGTGCCTGATGTAACACAACCCTGCAAGTCTGTGCAAGAGACTCTGGAACTATACTGTACCTTAGGATTTGCCTATATAGTGACTTGGTTTTGTAGTAAAACCAGCAGTCTTTTGTGGCATTACTAACACTTCTACCACACACATGCAGGAAATTCAGAACACAAAAGGTATTTGGTACTGTTTAGTATTTCGTCTAAAATAAACAAGAAGTTTATTACAATAAAGATAAATAACAGTTTCAAATACAATTTTGATACACATTTAACTGAACTGACTGGTGAAAGGCCACAGAAAATTGGAATATTTTAAATCACAGTTGCAACATTCACTCTTAATTCCATCGTGAAATATAAAAAAAGTGAGAAAATAACTGAGAAAAACTTATTTCTATGAAGTCACAATTCTGGTACATTTCTTAGGAAACTATGAACTCAGTAGTTAGAGTCTCTTATTCCAAACTGCACTTAGGTGTTGCAGACTTTACAAATATAATCGAATTATACCCAAGGCAGAAAAACCAAATATCCCTATTTCATTTTAGAAATTGCCAAAGCAATTAAATTTAATCTAAATGCTTCAATTTCTATATTTACTTTCAACTGAAATGTTGAAAGTAAATACACTGTTCTGTTAGCTTAAAAAATGGTTAGCTTAAAAAATGTTTTAAAGAGTGCACAATTTCCTGGCATTTACAAATTCTACCTAATTAAAACTGGAAGACAACTAGTAATGGACAGCACTATTTATTTAGGTAAATATTACATTAATTTATATTATAGTATATTAATTTATAGTATATTAACTTGTATTCTATTCTATTTTATATTCCTAAGGTGCAGGAAAATTTTTAATAACAATTTGTGAAGTTCATCCTGTGGAAAATTCTCCACCACATCTAGTAGATGCACACAGTTTTGTCCTATCTACTGCTTCACTAACTCAAATACTCTGACTCCAGCTGAACACTCAGAAGCACTGGGCTGATGTAGGCAAGGCAGTCCATGCAAACAACATTGGCAGAGAACAGAACTGAAGCTCAGAGTTTTCTTAGAAATTGAATAACTCACTCTGTACCCTATAAGCTCAATTACAGGGAAAATTAAATATGTTGTTCACTGCAAATTTCAGCTAAGATATTACACACGTGTCAGCAAACTGAACCCAAATGCATCTGCTGATGATGCTCCAACTTCAAATGCAGAGTCCATTTCTGCTATTTCAGCAGCAGCTGACAACTAAACACTAAGTATGGTATCAGCTGCAAAGAACACAACAATTGATAAATATTGTGACATTTTCTTAACAAAATAACCATTATTGTGCTATACAGTAGAGACAAAATACTAACACATCAAAATTAATTTCTAATAAAAAAGCATGAAGGGCATTCAGAAAACATGGCTGACACAATTTTTTTTTACCCCAGTCACAATCTTGTTTTATGTAATTGCTTTGTACTCCTGTTTCCCCGCAGTTTTACTGAAACCACTCCACTTATGTATTTCCTATTTAGCATTAGGATACCATATCTGCATCATAATTCAAATTTAACTGTTGCTATTTCTAGGCTTTTTTCCTCTATTCTACTAAACATTTCCTGGAATCAGCCTTCAATGAAACACCCAACTTGCTCTATAGCGTTTTAAGCAGATGTAAATGGTAACACAAGGAATCAGTGCCACAGAAAGGCAGACAGAACACCCCAAAAATGGCACTGAATATTTTAGCTGTTACTTTAATGTAAGAGTTGGGTTTGGGTTGTCTTTTGAATTCCTCAAAGAGTATTTTCAATGGCAAGTCAGTTTATTAATTTAGCAAAGCACACAGACACACCATAAACCAGCTACTCTTTTAGAAAGCATCATGAAAACAAATCACAAAAGTTTAATCAGATAAGTACTTAATTCCAGGAAATTATTCTCTTAACATCTCAGATGTCTGATTTTTTAAATATATATAACTACCATAATTATTGCTCCTACAAGACATTTTATATCAGAGACTGGGATGCCTAAAGTTTTATTTTTAAGCTTTTGTTTATCTATTCATTCATCTCTAAAATAAGTGAATTTTACTTTTGCTTAAGCCTTCATATAAACCTTTCATCTTTTTCCGAAAGTATAAACCCCTAAGGGAAGCAGGGATTGACTATGCTGATTAAACAGAGACAATGCCAAAGCATTTAAGGCACTGCAGGTATCTATCTGTCTGCCAACATATTTTCCACATGATGCACATACATTACTTTCATTAGTATTCCATAAGCAACTGAAGGGATAAAAGACCTCAGTGCTCACAGAATACTTTAAACCTTTTACATTCATAAGAAAGGGACACATTTACAATCAGTTAAAGTATTCCTGATGAACTGTAGGTTCCTTTGAAGTATAAGGCTTGCCAGATAGTTTCTGTTCCATTTAAATTTATTAAATATATCCTACAATATTCATGATGTAGTTTTCTTATATAGGAGACCAAGATGATAATTTCTTGAAAGCCAGAAATCATTAGCTTAAAATAAAACTCAACCAATTATTAGTCCAAGGAGATCCTTGTGCTTTTGCAAAAGAAAGCCTCTACAGATAAGGAGATTTAACAGGTATACTTTAAATACTAGAAAATACCCAATCAGAAATCAGTTGGTTTTTCTGTCAGCTTTCCTAAATTCTTCCTACCTAAAAATAATAGTTTGGCACTTGAAAAGCTACTTTAAGCACTTCAATAGCAGCAAAATTTATGAGCTGTAGAGATAAGAAAAATCAAACTTGAGCAGAGTTCTGTTCACTTGGGAGGGACAGAGGGAAAGGATCACATCCCTGGTGAATGTTTATTGTTACGTAAAGTTCTACGCAAAATATTTTTATACTTTTAAACATAAAGAAAAACTAATCTATTCTACCTAAAATCATTAAACAGCTTTCCTGGCAAATGGAACCTATCCTTCAGGATGAGGCAACTTACCCCGAGAGAGGGCAAGTGCATTGACTCCATTTGTAAGAGGGGCTCAGGAGAGACACAAGGCAACCACCCCCTCCCTCTGTCCTCAGAGATGCTTCACTGTTTCATCTGAATTCAGAAGAGGAAATTAACCAAGACAAACTCCTAAAGAAAACCATTAGTCATCCAAATCCACAAGGCCAGAAGGTGTTCTAGACAGAGGGGAAAACCACCACTGGCTGATGAATAAGACAAAGTTTAACATGAATCAAAATGCTGAGCTCACAGATCAAGTTTTCCAACATCAAATACTAAGGCACCCCTCATAATCCACAAAGGAAGAGCAAAGTTGTAGATCTGGCAAGACGTGGAAGATCTATGACTGACATCCCACTAAACTGGCTTACACCTGGAAACAGGATACAGCCCTTAGGACAACAGGTTTTGGGTAAATGGTTTATTTTAACATCGCTTATATAACTGAAAATTTGGATACAAATATTTTGGCTTTGAGCCTTGTGTTTACTTGGGAAAGTAACAAAAATTTTGCTAAATATTTTAATGCTCTCTTTCAAAAGAAGATTTGCAAAAAGATGCAACAACACTACAAGAAGCACTCTGCCATTATATTTTTTTCTTTTTAAAAGAAAAAATGGTCTTTTAAACAAATTACTTGAACTTAGGCATAAAATCTCTTGTCTTCAGCTTTTCCACTCAGTCTCCGCTAAGATCTGCTGCTCCATAAATGCAACGGATGTAGTTCCCCCTACTAACCACAGAGCCATGCACAACATGCTACACAGCATCAAGTCAGCCAAAACAGACTTACCCTTCTTTTCTACACAGAAATGTGGTCCTCATGCAACAAATCCACAGGCCTGACAGTTTAAGAATTACTATGAAGCTATGGTTTACTGGAACACAACAACTTCCCCAAAACTTTACAATTGCCTGGTAAACATTCCAAACCTTCCCAAATACCTTGAATTTCTCTGCTTTTTTGAAGCAAGGGGTTTGGTTCATTTTTAATCTGTCTCGCTGTGTAAACTACATCCAGAAGTTGGCTGCACTAATGATCACCTAGAAGAGACAGCACATAATTCCAAGCAAACTCACACCACTGCAGCCTTACCAAAACAAGACTCTGAGATTTCTACATATACAGCTACACAACTCTGAAGTTTTCTTTCATTATAGATATTTTAATGACTGCAAAAACCCATGCATTTTGGCTTGAAATAAAACAAAAAATTGTTTCAGTTAGAAGGAAAGGTATTTGCAAACACTAGGGACCATGTAAGTAATTGGCTCCTACAAGCTTTACTATCAAATGACTGCCAGCTAAGTTTTGGCTCTGCTTTTATTTTCCCTTCAGGTCTGAAATTGGCTGCTTTAATTAATGAACAGTTTGAGACTGGAAAATTCTGAATGCATTTAAACTTTTATTGTGCAGTACTTCAAGTTGTTCCATATTACCATTGTAGACTTACCAGAATAAGAACCTGAGCTTTCTGTGAACTGTATACTGCTACACATCTTGAAGTTTTCTTTCACTATACCTATTTTTTTTATCACTGCACAGCAGTTGCACCAGCAATTATTCCAGATGCTCTTGTTATTAGGATTTCACACAAAGATCTCTCAAGCTTGCATTAGCTGATTTGTGAATACTTCTATTATTTGAATCACATTAAAAATCCTTAGTAAC